TTGGCTGGACGTAACCACCCAGGGGTCCTTTACCTTTTACCTTTATTCCCTTTTGGGCACCACAAGCCAGTGGTGGGTGGGGGCCAGAGTCAAAAGTGAGTGAAACAATGAATTTACCCTTTTACAGTAGGGTAGTCTCTACACACACTCAAACCACAAGCATCGTCGTCAGAGTGCAAGGACCCTCAAGGAGGGTGTGAAGGAAGGGCAATGAGAGGCATGACCTGGGAAGAGGCCCCTTGCAAGAAAGGTAGATTTTGAGGAGAGATCCATGCTGTAGGGGTAGCAAGAGAAAATGGGTAGAGCCATACAGTGGTACCTCGGGTTACAGACCCTTCAGGTTACAGACTCTGCTAACCCAGAAATAGTACCTCGGGTTAAGAACTTTGCTTCAGGATGAGAACAGAAATTGTGTGGTGGTGGCATGGCGGCAGCATGAGGCCCCATTAGCTAAAGTGGTACCTCAGGTTAAGAACAGTTTCAGGTTAAGAACAGACCTCCAGAACGAATTAAGTTCTTAACCTGAGGTACCACTGTACTTGTGATAAGTAAATTTGCATTTGACTATTGCTAGTTGGAAGGGCCGCAGGTGGCACTGTGGGTTAAACCGCAGAGCCTAGGACTTGCTGATCAGAAGGTCAGTGGTTCGAATCCCTGTGACGGGGTGAGCTCCCGTTGCTCGGTCCCTGCTCCTGCCAACCTAGCATTTCAAAAGCACATCAAAGTGCAAGTAGATAAATAGGTACCTTTCTGGCGGGAATGTAAATGGCATTTCCATGTGCTGCTCTGGTTCGCTAGAAGTGGCTTAGTCATGCTGGCCACATCACCTGGAAGCTGTTTGCCAGCTCCCTCAGCCAATAAAGTGAGATGAGCACCGCAACCCCAGAGTCAGCCACGACTGGACCTAATGGTCAGGGGTCCCTTTACCTTTACCTTTATTGCTAGTTGATTAAAGACATGAAAAAATGGGTGCCTTTCAAGTTTGATTCGTGACAAAAACTCCACAGAGTAGTGAGGTGCAAAATAAAATGGCAGTAATAAATTATGGCGGAAAGGTGGAAAACAACAAGGGCATTCTCTTAAGAGCTGTTAGTTTTCATTTTGCAACTTGTCAGACCCTTCAGCAAGAAATTATTAATAAAAGTTCTCCTCCTTTATTACTGTCCTAGATTATCAGTTTAATTTATGATACATTAGAACAAATCACAAAGGCAGCCGTAAATCGTGCTACAGTGATTCATTGCTAGTGGCAGTGGTCTTGTGAATCATGACCATATTTCAAAGGAATTATGTAATGTTTCCAAATAGAAATGTGTACCTGCAATGCACAGCATTCTGTTGGGTCTTGATTAAGCAAGTCCAACAATAAGAGACAGCTAAAAGTGCAGTCCTGTGTTTGTCTATTCAGAAGGAAGCAGGTATACACTGTACTTTGTATGTGGACAAGAGCTGAAGCAGTGGGCTCTAATTTAGGGAATGCTGCGGCTAAAGAAACTTTAGCCTGGTTGTTTGTTAGCTGCTTTGGAAAGAGATGCCTATTAGGCAAAAAAGCTGCTGGCTTTTCAATGTTTTCAATGTTTTTCAATGTTCAAAATTTTCTTGGCACCATAGTTAAAATTCTGTGTATACTAGGGATAGGGAATTATTATTTTTAGCCAGAGAGCTTCATTCCTTTCCAGGGGACGGGGGAGTGGGGCACACAGGCTGGGGCTGGGTGAGGCCAGAGACAAAAGTGAGCAGAACAACTAGCCCAAATCTTAGCTTTGAACAGTAGCCTAGTTCTTAACACACTCTTGCACCCCTCTCTGTCCTCCACACAGGCAAGGAAGAGGCATTCTAGCCAGGCAAAACACTCAAACAGGGTCAGTGAAGGTTGCAGGCTTGGAAGAGTGGTTATGGATGGGGAGAGTTCATAGGGTCAGGTATAGAGAGGCCTGAAATTCTCCATGCATGACACATACCACAATGTCATAGATGATGTCACTACTTTCAGGGAGTCTGGGATGTTGAAATTAAGGATGCTCACTAGGAGAAACTCTTAGAATCAGGCATCTCTGGTCACCTTGCATCTAGCTTTGTGTTCATTGAAGAGAAAGGGAATTTATGGGGGAAGACAAATACCGCACAATGTTCATATTAGCCTATGGACCTAGGGAGAGAGGTTGCCAAAAACACGAGTTCAATGAGAAAGCACTTAAGATTAGTTAAGAGGGTTCAGATGCAAGTTGTGTGATGTAAACAGTATGGTGTAATCCCAGTGTGGTGTATTGGTTAGAGAGTTGAACTAGGACCTTGGAAGATCAGGGTTGAAATCCCTGCTCAGTCATAAAGCCCACTGGGTGACCTTGGGCCAGTCGCAGTCTCTCAGCCTAACTTGCCTCACATGATGGTTGCGAAAATAAAATGGAGAGGCAAGAGAACCATGTGTTGAGCTCCGTGGAAGAAGCTCAAGCCTTGTATAAAGTTAATAATAAATAAAAATAAATGGTGTAAAGACCTCAGAATCAGCACAGTAGCATCCCCCCCCCCGGTAATGTGGTGAGTGAAGAGCACTGATGAGGACAGGGAGTATGGGACTAACAAGAGTCTCTGATGTGGGGCCATAAAGACTTTTCCTTGCCATGGGTGGGGTGAATCCCAGTACCTGCATTTCTTAGAAAATATGTTTGTGGAGAATATTGTTTTAGCAGTAGAACAAATCTTGCTTCTGCCTTGCTTTCCAAACATAGGTTTAAATTGCAGTGTTGTTGGTTCAAGTTAGATTGCAGTGCCATAGTTCCTGATGTAACGTATTGTATTATTTCATATTTGTCAGTTTGTTTCCTTTATATGAAGCAGAGAAGCATCTGAGAGTTCAGGTATCAATGCTTTTGACATCTACACTCCTGGTCCTGGATTCATTCAGACCAAACGAAATAACTGCATAAAACAAGGCTCCTTTGCTGCATATTTTACAGCTCCATACCTGCCTTTATCAGTGCTCCTTCTTTAACAGTTGTAGACCTGTTCAGATTTGTGAACAATGTGGAAAGGCAGCTGTCTGAGGGAAGGAAATATAGAACCGCACTTCAGAGCTGCCTGCTGAGAATGAAACTGTAGGAAATGGGTTCTGATTAAGCTCTAATTAAATAAAGTGCTTAGTAGTACCAGGAAGGGAAATAAAAAATGGTACTGAGAGTGATCCGTTGCTTTCAGCATAGACTTGATTAAAAAAACATTTTGACCTTTTCTGTGCAGTTTTATTGCATATGATTTTGAAATTACTGTTAAATCAGTTTAGGTCTATAGTGTAGGTATGTCAAATAGGTCAGTGTTGATTTGATACAGTGTGGGTTCATGCATTAGCCACTGGAAGAAGAGTTTTCACAGGAGAATTGCTTGAAAATTAAGAAAGGTTTAATATACGGGAGGTGTTTGGGATGGATAAATGACTCCAGAGGGCAAGTGGTCAGTTATGGGCAGCTGAGATTGATCAGCTAATTTGTTCCTCCCCGCTTTCTGTTTTTAAAATGTTATCATTTAGATAGCATGTGCAATTCCGCCCCCATACTTATTAAAATGTCCATTTTAACAATACAGTACAGGAACTTAAATTAGCAAAGAGAGTGAACCAATATGACCACCAATGCTTGCTTTATTGTGATATAGATAAACATAGTTAACAAAAACATTTGTAGAGGATTAACACAATAAGGGACGTGGGTGGTGCTGTGGTCTAAACCACAGAGCCTAGGGCTTGCCGATCAGAAGGTCGGCGGTTCGAATCCCCACCACAGGGTGAGCTCCCATTGTTCAGTCCCAGCTCCTGCCAACCTAGCAGTTTGAAAGCATGTCAAGTGCAAGTAGATAAATAGGTACCGCTCTGGCGGGAAGGTAAACGGCATTTCCGTGCGCTGCTCTGGTTTGGCCAGAAGCAGCTTAGTCATGCTGGCCACATGATCCGGAAGCTGTCTGCGGACAAACGCCGGCTCCTTCGGCCTATAGAGCCAGATGAGTGCACAACCCCAGAGTCATCTGCGGCTATACCTAATGGTCAGGGGGTACCTTTACCTTTACCTTTTTAACACAATTCACAAACATAAACATTGCATCAGCTCTAGAAGGGAATGCAATGAGTTGCTGGAGAGCCAAATTCTGTGTGCTACATGGAATATGGAGGTAACATCCTCTACCTGAGGCTGCAACACTTCTTGGGTTGTCCCCATGAACTGCTGATATCTGACTATTGCACAGTTCAAGATAATAACATATTTAAAACCAGTTATGGTTATAAAATTAAAGAATAAGAATATATTCATATTCACATATCACCACTTTTTAAATATGAGGCCCATCTAGGCATATGAAGCAAATGTATACCAAACTGCCCTTTTTCACAAAACCAGTGTGGCAGGTCAGTTTCTACACTATTGCTTTCCTTTTGCATTTTATTGAGCAATGGATTGAACCAAGCGGCAGCTGGTACAGCTTTTTAATTTTTGTTAGGCTTTTAATACCCTGCCCTTCAGGATGTTTCCAGAATAGCTCTCAGGTCATAAATGTGATACAACGATGCTGAAATTAACAAGCATTACAAAGCAAGTTGACCAGATGACATCCAAAATAAAAACAGAGATTGAAAAGGCCTGAGGAAATTTTAAAAAGGGTTCACCGGGTGTCAAAAAAAGCAGTAAACCCAGCCACAGCTGAAGCTTCCTGGGGAGCGAGTTCCAAACCTGGAATGTGACTCCATAGAAGGTCCCCGTGTCCAGTCACCACCTACCAGATGGGGGTGGGATCTGTAAAAACTTATGAGGCAGATCTCAATATGGAGGCAGGTATTTGAGGAAGAGGTGGTTAATCTAGCATGATCAACCAAAGAACCAGCTGGACAAATATATCTCTTGAAAGTTACAGAAAGGAAATGTGTTGCCTTTGCAAAGTGCTTTTTTTTTTTTAAAAAAAAAGGTCCACCTAGTCATTGTACATATTGCATTCCTTCATTTCTGTATCTTTTCCAGTTGCCTTTGGCCTCTACTTTCCCCGGAGGGAATATCATGAGAACGTCTACCTTGACCAACCCAGCGGAACCCCCCTGCTGCAGATCCATGCCTTGAAAGATTCGGAAGAGGAGAATACATATTTTTGGCTGTGCCCACAACTCCACATCCCACGAGCTGGAAGTAAAGACAATCTCTGGTTTCAAATCCAAGAGAAAACTGGACTTCTTTTCCTCAATAAGAGTCTAGATAGGGAGGACTTCGATATGCTGTGTAAGTCATGCAGATGAAGCAGATGTCCTCATCGCACTAGTGTGGGGGTGGGGTGGGGGTTTGTTATCATGTTTACCTTCATTTGCATCTGGTGGAATTTATCCAGATACTAATGGTTACCAAATCAGTAGAACTCTTCATTGAATGGAAGGTACTCTGGAACCTCTTCCTAAATATTGGCACAGACACCAATAAGAAGACGGGTAACCATGTCAGTCAACTGCAAGAACAACAAACAATCCTGTTGTTACCCCCGAGATCAATATGTAAATTAATCATCATGTTATTCCCCCACCCAGTCAGCCCCTTGCCTATAGAAACATATCATACCACAAATACATTAGTTTTAATGATTGGCACAAGAAGAGATGCATCAATAATAATGTAATTCTGTTTTGTTTACTTGTTGTTAATGTGTGGAGACAGAGAATTAGGCCTCAAAGGATGCTCGCAAGTAGCAGTTTATTATATGAAGGTTGCCCAGAGTGTCTTGGCCATTTATCTTCTCATGTGTCCTTCTCTGCTACTTTGGTTCAAGCCACTCACTCAAAGGAGATAACACTTGGACAAATTGTTCTAATTGATTCTTGGAACAGATGAGTGAAGTAATAACTCTCTGCACTCTAAGGTTATGTTTAACTTACTTGTAAACCCAAAATCCTAGTTCTGAATGAACTGTACAGAAAGAGGAACAAGAGCAAACCAGAGACTTAATTGTTGTTTGTTGCGGTTAACAGAAAATTACAATTCTTTATTTAAGATTGGTTTTTTTTCTACGTCCTTCTTCGGGCCAGTCTCAGAAAGCAGTATGCATGGAAATATTAAAACCCTAATAAAAGAGCAAAGACAGACTGCAAAGGGGGGGGGGAGTTCCATGAAAACCCTTTGAAAGGTCTTCCCTCCCATCAGGGCAAAGTGATTCAGTGGCACTTGGGAGAAGGAGAGGCCAAACAGCTCAAACAGTAGAGGATGAGACTCTTAGTCTCGGGGTCCTGGGTTCGAGTCCCCCATTGGGCAAAAGAGTTATGCGCTGCAGGGGGTTGAACTAGATGGCCCTCAGGATCCCTTCCAACTCTACCGTCCTGTGATTCTGTGATCTCAGCTGGAACACTTTAGAGCTACATGGTGGGCAGCTGTTTGGGGTGCTTTGTCTAGGTGGGTATAGAACCATAGATGATGCTGAATTGCTAAAATGAGGGTTCTTTGTAATCTTCCCTGTTTCTCTTGTCTCCTCCCTAATAGTTCCAGGAATTTCGGTATCAAAGCTGATCCTCCAAGTTTTCGTCTCACCCCAACTTTTCCAAGGGAAGGAGTGCCATGAATCTTATACCAAAGTATTGGTGAAGCTTTCTGTTATCAATTCCACCATGCCAGCTTGCAGTTATGGGATGCCAAGCCAGTTGTGTTTTTCCAATATGGACCTTTCTTTTCACATCAAGGAGAACAAACCACCAGGGATATTCCATCAGCTCCAGTCATATCCTCTGCAAAACCAGTGCCAGAATGCAAGCATTTCCTATGAGGTGATAGCAGGTAAAGCAGCTGATTGTCCAGTGGGAAGCGGGGACCCTGTTTGCCTTCGCAAATCCTTATTTCATTGGGTTTTCTGCACAGCTTTAGAACATACTTCCAGATATGGCTCCCATGAGCCTCTGGAGGAGGTGTTGGAAGCTGGGCAAAAGTTTGCATTGGAAGGCACTTGCATAGGTAGAAGCCACATATGACCACATATGGCCAAAACATTTGGAAACTTGGATTAGGTATAGAAGTTATACCATCCCACCCCATATGTGCAGTGGTTCAGCAAATTCCATAAATTTAAAAAAAAACCTTAAGCAACAGATTTCATGGCCTTCATTGTTTAATTAGGAATATTTCACTATTTTCAGAAAAGCATTAAGTAAACATTGTATCAGTGATGGTTGAAATTCCATATTAAGAAGAATTATCGATGGGAATTCTGGCTAATACATTATAATGGTCCTGAAAGAGAATTTTCACATCCCCACCATTGCGGCAAAAGTCTTGGAACATTTATGTGGCTGGGTATTTGCTGAAGTGTTTAAGGGATTCCAGTGATTCAAATTTTAAAAATCCAAGCCAAACCAATGCTAGTTTTCCTCTTCATCTTGATTATGATGTAACTTACTTTTTGAGCTGCCTTGAGCATCTGGGAAAGGCAGGTAAAGAAGCATTTAAAATAGATAAATAGAGACTGGAGCAGGGGTGTCTCAAAGCAGTGACTCTTAGCAACAGGACAAAGGCACTTCCTGCAGTACAGTAGTGTCTTGCCTTGGCTGCGAATTTTTGACCTGTTCTCTGCTGTCCTTCAGCACCACCACTAAGGAGGAAGGAACAGTCCTCTGCCTCAAAAACTACCTGAGCCTGCCTTGTAAATCTCCTTTCAGCTTTCTCTTGCTCCCTGAAGTTTCATCTCCCTCATTTTACTCTGTTGCAAGATTTAACATGCCTGCTTTGATAGAGGGTGCAGGTAGTCCCCTTTCCCTTGCTTTTCCACTGAAAAATATTCAAAGTTGGTAACAAGATCATAGCTAAAAACATTAAAGGTAAAGATAAAGGTACCCCTTCCGGTACGGGCCAGTCTTGACAGACTCTAGGGTTGTGCGCCCATCTCACTCAAGAGGCCAGGGGCCAGCGCTGTCCGGAGACACTTCCGGGTCATGTGGCCAGCGTGACATCGCTGCTTTGGTGAGCCAGAGCCGCACACGGAAACGCTGTTTACCTTCCCGCTAGTAAGCGGTCCCTATTTATCTACTTGCACCCGGGGGTGCTTTCGAACTGCTAGGTTGGCAGGCGCTGGGACCAAGCAACGGGAGCGCACCCTGCCGTGGGGATTTGAACCGCCGACCTTTCAATCGGCAAGCTCTAGGTGCTGAGGCTTTTACCCACAGCGCCACCCACGTCCCAGCTAAAAACATTATGCCATCATTAAAGATATATAAGCATAAGGTTAACTATATATATAATAGAACAATGAAGCATTATAAACAATAACTATCCCTTAATTTAACAGAAAAAAGCTTTGTCATGAGCCACAGTTCATCCATTAAAAGTTCATTCGCTAGTGTGGCAAAGGCACACTAGACAGTAGGTGTGGTGGGTCTTTATCACCCGGGGGTGAGTGGGTCTTCCCTAATGATATGAGGAGGAATGAAATGCCAGACAGAGCAAACCAGAGATACAATAAAGGTATAGAACAGGGGGAATCCTTTCAACCCCTAATTGCAGTCTTTTATATCCAGCACGATTTCCAGAACTCTATAAAGAGTTCTAAGATTGAAGAATGGTGTAAATAACACATACATGCAAATTGACTGGATTTGAGTTGCAGTTTGGGTGTTGCTGATTGTGAATTGTCTACTTCTGGCATAGGATCCTTTACCCCCAAGGTTGTATCACAGAGAGCTCCTGCTTTGTTAGTGATTGAATGAGACGGTATTCTTGCTGTCTTCTAGATAAAGGTGTGCCATTTCTTTACAACATGGACACGGCGAGTATCAGCGTGGCACAGCCTCTGGATCGAGAGGAGCGAGAGAAGTATGAGCTGATTGCCAAATGTACTGTGACAGAAGGTTCCAGGGAAACTTTTAAGGAGGTGCCATTTCTTGTAGCTGTCTTTGATGAAGATGACATGCCCCCCTTCTTGCCTAATGACACAAACACAGCAGATGCAGTTGTGGAGTTCAGCAGGAAAAAGGTAACGCTCCATGATGATACAATGTGCTACTGTGACTTGTTGGTGATTTAAGAGTCCTTTGCAACCTTCCCACTTCCTCCCATGATTTTTGCATGTTTTGAAGGGCTCTTTTGAGCACATCCATGCGGAAATGTAGAGTTGGGGTCCATGTAAAGTTTTCCTGTAGTAGGACCTGGTAGGAAACACGGATCTTGCTTGTCCATCCCAAGAGTTACATGGATAAATTTTCAGTGAAACATTTCTTCTTGAGGGTGTTGATGGGAGCACTTCCAGAAGCAACCCATATGAATACAAAACATTCTCCCAGAATATGATGTTAATCATTAATTCCCTCTAGTAGCAAATTTTGGGTTGTCAAATACCAAGGAGTCATAATGTAATGCTGTTCACACACTTAGACACCTCCAAAACATGCAGAAGCATATAAGGTTGTAAACCATCAGAAAATAAATGTTCTAAAGGACCCTGTGAGCTTCCAGGACATACGGAACATTGAGGTCATTGAGATAAGAAAATAGTAGAGTAACTCATCTCATTGTCTGGAGAGGGAACTTCCAGGGTCACATTACATTGAATGCAAATTACAAGAGATCTTTTCCTCCCTGCTGCCTATTTGGTGGTTGAGGAGGAAGATGCTTTGTTAAAATCCTGGATTTCTCCATTGTTTTCTGTTAGCAGCATAATTGTCTGCTCTGGGGTTGTGGAAATATGTCGAAAGCAATTGGAAGTCGGGGCAGTGTGTGTGAATCTTCTCAATTAAATCTGTGTTTGAGGGCAGTTGAGCCATTGAAGGCGTCAGCTAAAATATCAATGGAAAATGGAAGGAGACGGAGGGAACTAGCCTGCTTAAGTCCCACTCAGTCTATAGTCAAGTGAATGTACATCATAAGTTTTAAGGACTCTCCTTCCTGCGCTACATTTCCTCTCTCTCCCCCAGCTGTATTGTGATAAAGCAGTCAGATGAAATTTGGGATGTTCAGGATGCTATGGCAGTAGGTTTTCTTAAATAAATAAAGCAGTCAGGGCCAGAGCTAGTAGCTTGCCCCACTCCTAAATAAATGAAGAAATCTGAAACCCTTTTATATAGGACAATGGGGGAAGATTTTAGGAGTGTCCCCTCTCCTACCCCACCCCATTTCACTCTTAAACACTCCAGAGTGCTATTGTGTTGGAGCTCCCTTTAATACAATCTCATATTTTTGTTAAAAAGTTCTAACAGATTTATCACGAGAAAAGTAAGTTTAAAATGATAGGCCTGTTTCTTTCCTGGGCAACTTATTTCTTTGGCTGCTAGATTTTGCGTTGGAGGGATTTACCGTTTTTGGATATTTGCTGCCACCAAGAGGCCAGAACCATTTTTTTCCATTTTATCCACCTCAGCTAGCTCTGGAGAGTTAAAATTGAAGGACCACCGTATACTCTGAATGCTGAATGAAAACCTGTATGCTAACTATTCACCAGCAAGCTTAATCATGTATGCAATGTTGGTTTGAGGAAGCATATCTGAATCTAAAACCAGTAATCCAGATTCCTGCTAATTGAGATCAAGCAGTCGCCTTTACTTTACTCTTTTCTAATGGGATAATTATCATGACCTTGTAAATCTGTTGCATATTGAAGCACTTTACATTATATTTTTCATCCTAGGATAATGCTAGGATCCTAGGATAATGCTTAAATGCCAAGCCAGAAATAATATATTGTGACTGCAAGCAATTTCCTCCCACCTATTCTCTTTTAAAGGGCACTGTCATTGCAGAATTAACTGTCTACGATGCGGACACCACCCCTATTTTCCCTATAGAGAGTAGCAGGAAGAAGTACACTGGCACCATAAGTACATCTGATCCATGGATCAAGGAGACATTTCAAGTGGAGCACAACTTCCATGAGATCTTGTTCAACCCAAATGGCAGCCAAGTGAGGGGAACACGACACGAATACAGTAAGTTTATGTGGATTATTATTCCCAAAGGAGTAGCAGTGTGCTTACAAAGAACTAGTTCCGCATTTTGCTGCCTTATCCAGCTTTTGAATCATAAGCCAGAGATGTGAGATAATAAGTAATAGTATCAGACTTCCGGGAGGGCAGGGAATGTCATGAGATAATAATTCATTGTGGTCCAGTGGCCAGTGCTAAAGAGATAATTGTGATGCTGTAGCAATAATCCTTTCAGCCAGTAGGGGCAGTATAGAATAGTCATAAATCAGGGTAGACAACCTGGTAACCTCCAGACATTCTGAACTAAAAGTCCCATCAGATTCAGCCAGAATGGCCAATGGCCAGGAATTATGGGAATCATAGTCCAGAACATGTGGAGTGCTCCACATTATCCCTTTCACAGATAACAGACCTGACTAATCACCATTGGTGGAAGTATAATCTCCTCTGCTTTGCAACAAACTAGGACCTGTTTGAGCACTGCACTGTACAGTGGTACCTCGCAAGACGAATGCCTCGCAAGACGGAAAACTTGCAAGACGAAAGGGTTTTTGGTTTTTTGAGTTGCTTCGCAAGACGATTTTCCCTGTGGGCTTGCTTCGCAAGACGGAAACGTCTTGCAAGTTTGTTTCCTTTTTCTTAAAACCGTTAGTACTGTTACGACTTGACTTCAAGGAGCAACTCATAGCACGCGGTGTGGTAGCCTTTTTTGAGGTTTTTGAAGACTTTGGTGATTTTTGAAGCTTTTCCAAAACTTTTCCGAAACCGTGCTTCGCAAGACGAAAAAATCGCAAGACGAAAAAACTCGCGGAACGAATTAATTTTGTCTTGCGAGGTACCACTGTAATTATTTATTTATGTTGAGATATACACCAGCAACAGTTGGATTTTGCCATGGAAAAGTTTTTCAGTTTTGAGATGTTCAAAGAAACCAAGGTTGCCTTTTATTAACTAAATCCCTTACGGTAAACTGCCTTTACTATGGAAGGCAAGAATATGCAAACGCAAGTTCATGGCAAACCATGGGAACTTGCCAGGTATGCTTGAAAATCCTAACCAACAATGGAATGCCATTGTGCTCACAGCTCAACGGTTCATGTTCAGCACCTTCAGTTCAGTTCATTTGTTGGCATAATTCCCAGTTGTGTTAGTGGACTAAAGATAAAGATTTGTGTCCTAAAACAAACCAGTTAACAATTTTAAAGTTCAAGATGGTTTGGAGCATTTTCAAATTTTAGGAGATGGAATTAACTGGCCTTTTCAATATTTATATGGTGACAAGAAACCAAGAGCTTTTAATTGCAACTGTTGTGCAAGGGCATATGGTCAGATTATATTCCAGTCTGTACAATGAATAGTAATACTGTTTCTTTTAAATGAAAGTATAATAACTGTTCTGGTTCAGACATAACAGTCTTGGTCCAACAAGCCATGGTTTATCGGATCAAAAATGAGACTTTCACCTGCATTCTCCTGCAGGTTGTTGTTATTTTAAAATACAATACAGTGGACCCTCCTGATATGAACTTCATTTGTTCAAGGGGTCCGTACGCACCCCAAAAAGTCCGCATCTAGAGGTGCCGCTTCTGCGCATGTGCATGGCGTGATAGAGCGCTTCTGCACATGCATGCACGGTGAAACCTGAAGGTAACATAACCCGGGGGTCCGCTGTATTAAAAGCAGTTTAAACTAATTACAATCAGGAGAATACGGTAGGTCCTAAAATATATATCTGAAGTGTCCAAGGCCAGAGTAAAGAAGTATGTCTGATGAAAACTGCATAATGAAGGGGCCAGACACATCTCTGTGACAAGTATGATTGAAAGAGGGCTGAAGAGCCAATGTTGGGTCATGTAACTGTTCCAAATAAGATTGTTTCTTCTGTTTCTCTCTGATGCACATGCTTAGTGGGGTTTTTGATTTGTCTTATAGAACAGAGCTCTGCACACCGTTATGCCTGTGCCCAATTTTCACCATGAGCTCTACATTGTAGAGTTTGAGACTCTTAATCTCAAAGTTGCCCACTTTGGGCAAAAGATTCCTGCATTGCAGGGGGTTGGACTAAACGATCCTTGTGGCCTCTTCCAGTTCTATGACACTCTGATTCTACAATCTGCTCTTAGGGTGCCTTTTTCACTCTTGAATGCCAAACCAACCGTTTTTGCCCTGCTTTCTGTGTCCACTGGATGTCTCTCTTGACCACCTTTCTCTTTCCTCGAGAGAATATCCCTGAAGTGTTTATGTATTGCGAACTTAATGAGTCCAGTCTTCTGTTTCTGCAGGACTGGTGTTAGGCAAGAGCATTTCAGTTACTGAAAGCAGTTCCCACCAGGTGGACGTTATTGTGAACGACACAGAATACCAGGGGCCGAACAAATCCCTGATGCTCCACTTCAATGTCACCATTCTTCCAATCAGCATCCAGTTTTCAAACGTGACATATCAGTTCACAGTGAACAGAAATGCTGCCAACTTTTCACAAGTAAGGATTGTGTGCTCTTTTGTTCCATTTGGAAATTCAGCTTGGAATTTACAGTTGACTTGTGCCGGAAAATGTTTATATAAATGAATATCCTTCAGAGGTTGATTATGTCCTTTGTTGTCTTTCCAACTTTTTTTTAATAAAAAAAAATAGTACAATTTTTGTGCCAAGGGCGGGCATGTTTTGCTAAGGAGTGCTTCCTCTCAGGTTGGAAAGAGAGCACAGACTCCCCTGCCATCTCTGGGGAGTTTCATTCCAGAAGGGAGATGTCTCAATGGCTACCCTGGTCCTCTTCTCATACAGCTTCTCAGCTCTGATGGTGCAAGGTGTAGAGTTTCTTCTTTGTTTTCTAGTCTGTCCTCTGCTGCACTTCTAGGCTTGTAGAAACCAGTCCCTCCGGTGACCAACCTCTAGGTTGAATATTGAAGTGTGTCAAACCTTGGGGGTGTGGGGTTGTTCTAGGGAGTCTTGAAAAGTGACATCATAGTAGGCAATTTCAGGGCCACTCAAAAGGTATGAAAATGTTCACATTAGGGATTTTTATCTTTTTTTTAAAAAAAATTCATTTGTTTAGATATTATCAAAAATTCAGCACACCTCATGTGAGTCTTGCAGTGATGGCAGCTGGGTTAAGCACTAGGGAACCCTCCCTGCTGACTTTCGCTGCTGGGCATGTACCACCCATCAGCCTACCCTGTGCTAGATCATACTACTCCTTCATTTCCTACATATTTACCCCACCAAATGTTGTTTGTCTTTCAGTAGATCTAGAATACTAGCTGAGTGTACATTCATTTTTTAATGAATGGGCAAGATGAAATGAAGGGCCCCTTTGTTTCATTCATTTTTATTAAAGAAATGAATGCACAAGTTCCAAAATGATTCCAAGCATCGTATAAATAATCTGATACTCACTCAAAACTATTTTAGCTTTCATCCCCACCCCCCACCCCTTATGAGTCAGAATAGGTCAGATGGAGGTTTCAGAGAGAGCAGGGTGTCAGGAGTCTGCCCGGTCTTCAGCTCAAACACATTGTAACCAAAGTGTCCAACATTCTGGTTGGTCTTTTCCCCCCATAGAACCTTCCAATCATAATGCTAAGGAGAGGGAATTGTGAAAGTCTATAAAAGAGGGAGAGAATGCTTGGGTTTTTGTTTTTGCCCCTGCAGATTTTCTCCTCCATCAGTGAATATTTGCAGGTCTGTCTTTTGGTTGGTTTGTTCTTGTCTTTCACAAAAACAGTTCCCACTCAGTCACCCCTTGCAGTTCCTTGAAGCATTTTCAATCCACTTCGCACTGTATTACTCCTACCTCTCCCCACTCCCTTGTGTTTACTTACTTAAAGTATTTTCATCTCCCTCATCGCTTGAAAAGGCTCCTAGAGTGGCGTGCGTTAGATTGATAAAAACAGCAACATATGATTAAGGCAGTAAAAATAGGCTATTTAAAGAGGTGGCACTTACGACAATTTGCTGCTGCTTCCTCTCCTGCTCACAGGGCAGTTGGTTTTTAATGGCCACCAGGAGAGGAAGAAGGGACCAGTCTCTCCTGGTGAAGTGATTTGCAGTTTATATTTTAGAGAAATACATTAATTAAAAGTTGCATGATCTTGGTAAATCGTACACTAAGTGGAATAATGTTGGATAGCACCCATAGCCTGTGCAAGTGTGTGAATTGGGGAAGACTGGGGGAGCAAGTGGCACCCACATAGTTGCAGAGCAGTTTAAGCTTCATGGGTCCACAGTGGTTAATGGCTGCTCGTAATTTGTCAACGCAAAAACTGCTACATCCAAAATCCACTTGGCAGTGGCTGAAAGACACTGTGGGCAAGCAGAAAACACCCACACCTGGCAGCGGACACAAAGACATACAATTTCCACCAAATCCTGACATACCAGCCACCCAAAACACACACAACCACCAACACATGCACATAACAAGCACACCCCGGTGCAACACTGGAAACAAATGTATGTGTACACGCTGGCACCCCTCAAACGCACAGCAGTCACAGCCCCCACATGCTCCCCCACAAATCAAGAAACCATGACAACACAAAGAGAGCAATGCGAAGGAGAACTCTATTGGAGCCATGGAAGCCCACACAGTCACAGCAGCATGCAGTAATGACAGGCAGACCAAATACCCCTTGCTCCCATAGGGGACACTCCCTCTCAGGTGTGGCAGTTGGAGGTGAGCAGGCACATCAGTAATGGTGATGACACCACAGCTCACATCCTAACCATAGCTAGATTGATGGCCTTCAGCATTGGATAATGGACCACCAGTCTCTCCCTGGTGGCCACCCAGGACCATGGAGGTGGTTGCTGGTATGGCACCAGAGCATAATTCTCCCCCTGCAGCACAGGGGAAGAAGCAGAGCATGTCTGGAGTGGCTGAGCACGTATCATGCGTGCCTCCTATGGTTGATGCCAGGCGCCTCTGCAACCTGTGTGGTTGTGATCTGCAAAACAAAAGTCATACAAGAGTTAGCTTATAGACACAGGTGTCATGTTGGCTAGTGGCTTAGCAATCTTTTACTCATGTTAGGCACCTACTGCAAGAAGTGTACCTAGTGTGGGGTTAATTTCCCCAGATTGGGCCCAGCCCATTACTTCCTATGTGACTTCAGCTGGCAGGGGTATTTATACTTGTCTGTTTTCCCCTCGACAGTGAAGGTCTCGGGTATGTTGTATCCTAACCTACCCAACATGGCAGACTTGGAGTTCTGATAGCACCTGGTGTGTTTTGCTGCTCCTATGAGTGTCTTTAGTTGAATTTGCAAAGTTCTATTTACAGTTAGTTTAGATCACGTTTGGGCTTTGCCTTTTTATTGTCTATAAAATCAGTTCCCTTATTTTCTGTCTAAAATTTCAGATAGGATCCCTTGGAGGAGAATTTCTGAAAGCTTAATGTTAATTGGATCAAGAAACCCCCGCCCCCCCCAAAAAAGTTGCAAAAGCAGCAAAACAGAAACTGGGTATCCTATTGAAGGCAATGGGAGATGAAAACTAAATAATATTTAAAAAATATATGGATGAAATAACTAAATAAATGAAGTTTTAAAAGTAAGACTGAATGGATTAACCAAACTAAACATTCCACTTCACCCCTATAATTAGCTTTACAATGTTTCTCCCCCATTTTTGAACAGCATATAAAAATATACTTGGAATGCCTCCTCCTGAGTCTTGTAGATTGAATATACATTACAGATGCAGTCCATATGTTTGTGCTTCAGGCTTGCTTCAGGTTTTCTTCAGACTGGCTTGCATTTATCAGCATGTGGAGTTCAGGCATCAACTTATTTACTGTTTTGTCCTGTGGAAACTTTCTAATGCAGATTTTCAGGAAGAGAGGAAATAATCAAAATGCTTGGGATCTTGAGCTTACCCTTCCATAAGAAGTGCCATTCAATCTCTGTTTACAGACACAGGAAATCAGCATCCTCCCTTCTTTGTTCAATTTGAAGGGTGGTAATTGTAGGTAATAATTGTTACTGCCTTCTAAGGGGGAAGATAGCTAGCAAGCTTGCTCTCTCTGCTGTGCAGGTATCTTCTCACCTAAGCCAAGTGCTCCATGCAAATGCCCAGTCATGTGCAGCCCCAGTTTGTTTGGTTCTTGCCCCAGGAGGGAAGGAGGCAAGCTTGTGCCTTCACCATATCAGGTTAGTACATAACCCAGTGTGCATATGATTTGGGGCATAGCATCTCCCCTCCTTCCTCTCGATTTGGGTGTCAATTTAAGATCTGCAGTGTTCAACTCAGTACATAACATGCAGCAAGGAATTTGATTCAAGCAGCTCACTCCCTAGAGGGTGGCACTCCACATTCTTGAAGTATTAAGCATAATCTGGAATGATTAGCTAGCACAGGGGGAAGTTCAGGATGAACTAACGCAAAGGCAAAATGGCCTTTTGCCCCGAGGAGAATATGAGCGTATGAAGGAGCAATTAACCTTTGGGCTGATGCCATTTCTCTATTTTGACAGTCAAGTGAATGAATGAAGAATCATGAACGTGGCCTGGCAGCAGCCTGTCCCACATCAAAAATAGGATTTAACCCCCCAATGGCTTCAAAAAGGAGGCGCTATCCACTTGTTCTCAGGCAAAATTATCACGTGTGATTTTTAAGGAGGGAAAGTTGCTGTGAATCTCACAGTACACATACTTTCCATTTGGATTGCAGTTGAGGACAGAGATACATACAAATGAAATGAGATGCTGTATCTTTTTAAATTTGTGTTTTATTGTCTGGTTGTAGAACAAAAACATCTTGGGGCACTAATTGAGCTCGGTTCATCAGATGTATGCAGAGTTACCCTTGGGGTGTATGTGTGTATATGAAAAGAGAGAGATGGGATCTGTAAACAATGTGCCCCAAAGGCCATTATATATAGAGGTACATAACCCATCTGTGCAAAGGTCAAATGTACATAATAGCATTTACCGTTAAATTTGCATTGAAATGTCACATGCTTTCTATACTGTGTGAAATCCATGGCTTTTGGAATCTGCTGTTTGCAGTGTTATCTTCTGCACTCATCTCTGTGTGTGCATGTGTGTGACCTATCTACCAGGGAGATTACTCAATATGTCTTAGTCTGTGAAAGCTTATGCCACAACAAATCTGTTAGTGTTTGAGTTGTTGAATGTTGGCTACTGTCATGTTGCCAGTCAGGAAAGTCCCTTTCAATTGGCCCCACCTACTTGGTTGCAGTGTTCGCGCACTTGTGAAAGAGCACACCACAAAGCAATTCCACCATGGTTTGATGGGTGTGAGAGAAGGAAAGCAATGCAGGGCCATAGAAATCCATGCTTACAGCCCAGTCATATGCAAGTCTGCTTGGAAGTAAGCCCTGCGTAGTGCAGGGGATTTATTGACATACAAGTGTGGATAGGATTATGGCTTTAAATTTGGAAGCCCTGTGTAGATGCTTCTTCACATATTTAAATGTGGTTTCCCCAACCACATGAGCAAGAAAATTATTGTTTCGCCTGCAAACAAGTATTTCTACCAATCCAGTTGTCATTGGATCCCACAATGTGTGAAATTGTGTCCAGAGTTGCAGAGCATTAGCATCTCTGAATATACTGTTGCTTCTCTATGATATTAACTGTTGATAACATGCATGAGGCCACCATTAGTGCTGCTTCGGTATGTTTGTTGCTGGTGGCATTTTTGATGATGATTTCCCTTTTTCTTTGAGCCCAGATAGGAAAAATCTGCATTGACAACTGCATGAGGTTTTATGGCGTCAACGTCACCTATAGCTTACAGACCCCCAATGTCAGCTGCTATGCTGTGGAGATTGCTCAGGGCCCTGAAGACCAGTATGGGACCCTCTACGTGAATGATTCTGCTGTGCTACAGAGACCTGACTGTAAAGAAATCCAGTATGCTGTACTAGCTAAAGAAGAGCAGAGCAGGAAGGAAGCGCTCACCCATGTTACCATTGTCCTTGATGGATCACGTAAGTTGTCTCTGGGCTTTGGTCTTGGCGGTGATATGAGCTCTGAATACGCAAAGCCTCCAATACTTGAATATGCAAAATATTTGGTTATTCAGGCCTTTTAATGCAGCAGCCCTTGCATGTGAGATATAGGCCTCAGGGAGCCTGTTAACACCCTCCCTTCTCTCACTCTGGAAAGCAACACAGAACTGTGTTGTTGGATGAAATCCTTTGAATTCAAAGGAAAGAATATGCTCTTTGCATTTTGTAAGCATTGGGTAGACGCTTACATAATTTTCTGGTGGTGGTATAGCCCTTCTCCTCCTCTTCTTTGTAGCTATACATACCGATGATGGTTGCCCAGACTCATGTTCGATGAGCAAGACCCGATCAGAATGTGAAGAGTGTGGTGGCCTTGGAGCGCTAATGGGAAAATGCCAATGGAGACAGGGAAGTGGTAAAGGTATGTCCAGACATTCAGCAATTGAATGGGAATCTAGAGTAGGGCAGATCTGAAGAGAGCATTGAAGAGCATGGGCAATTCTGTCACTGGGAACCTCAGTCGGATATCGAGGACATTCAGGGCATTCTTTGTTACCCTGAGTTGCAGACATATTAATATTAATTGATCATTTTATTCCTTGAGCAGCCTTTACTGCTGTGTGTGTGCGTCCGTGTGTGTTTTAGAGAGGTGATACTTAAAGATACTGGGAAATCAGATATTGTGATTGCAACCTATAAGAAGTCAAATACATTCTCCATTCCTCTCACCCTTCTCTTAGACAAACACTTTTGTATGAGATTTTGTGCAGGAAAGAAGAATAGCGCTATGTCATCTATTACATAATCAGTAGACATATGTCACTGATAAGATAGCTTTGTTTGGAGTGGCAGCATATGTATTTAAAGGTGAATTCCTTCAGACCAATATAGTAAATTGCCATGGAGACAACTTATATTAGGATCAGTTTGATTCAGTCTTGGAGGTGTACAGCAAGTAGGTGGAACAGTGGCTGTGATAAACCACACATACATAAAAAGAAGAATTACTATGTGCTTCTTCAGGGGGTGTTCCAAGGCCTGAAGGAACCAATTTGCCTTGTAAATGTTTGCTGCTAAAATTTAGCAAAGTCCTAATCAACTTATTTGAAGAGGTGTAGAAAGAGCTTTCAGATTCAGAAAGTCACCTGAACTGAAAAATAAATATAATTACAGTCTTTCCTTTGACTGTTTCATGCAGCATCACTTTAGGAAGCATAAAGGGTAATTTTTCAGTAGCTCATCTTGCAGTGTAAAGATGCTGAGGCCACAACATGCTACGTTCCTTCTTTTGTTTCTTGTTCTTAGGAATAACAACAAACTATTCCACCTGCAGTCCAAGCATCAAGACCTGCCCTGATGCTATCTGTGACGCTGTTGAGAGCAGAGATAAAAAAATATGCCCTCAAGATTGCACAAGTATGGAATTGACACCTCTCAATTTTCTTTTCTACTGAGTTTTGCTTTCCTACTTCTGGGTCAAGCTGTTGCTTTATCTTAAATGTGAACCAGGGCCAAAAAGTTTACAACTGCCTTCAAGGTTGTGCAAGTTTCTTTTAAGGCAGATAACAGCTGTGTTACTTTTTGCATTCAGAGTGATTTATGCGGGATGCCTGTATAAATATTAGAATGTGCTTATTCTGTATTTTATTTTATTGTTTTTTAAAAATAGCCATGACCCAACGAACTACTCTAGGAACGTAACAAGAGATTTTCTACTTGGTTTTTCTCTGCTAGTTGTTTTATTTTGGTCCAACCACAGCCACTCTGCATTAGTGGCTACTTCTGAAGATGCCCAAAGTTTCAGGGTGGCTATCTCAAAAAAATGAACTGGAATTAAAAACACAACATAGATTCAAAATATATATTTTTAAGAAAGGTTATGTCTTGAAGGTACTGGTTTCTATTTTATTTAAATGTGATAATTCTCACATTAGGCTCTGATGTTGCAGCAGAACTGCACCGTGAGTTCTAGTTCCATAGTTACTGGGTTGAGTGGTTATATTCAATAATAGCATACATCCTGCCTGGATAGTTTAATGTTCAGTTAAGGGGTTATATAATGTAGTTATACTTAGCACTTTTGTTGAGTGCCTTGAGCCAGAGTGTCTCTGAGCACTCTGCAAAAGTTGTTAAGTATCTTTATTGCCATTTAAGATGAGGAAATATAATAGGAAAAAAGGCTAAACTGATTCTTCCAAGAAGTGAAAAGGGATATTATTTTCCTGGTTCTCCCATTATCCTCCTCCTGTGCTGGGCTGAAGTCCAAATTTAATGTGTGTGTATTTCTTAGTTACCTATGTATTGTAGCTAAGTATGCTCAGGGTAGCATTCTTATGCTGCAGTCCTCCATTTGACCCCCTTGGTTAAACTCAGTGGGATTTACTTTGAATAAGCAATGGCAATGGGCTGTAAGGGTTCCCGGCTATTCACCCATTCAGATACTGGCCTGGCGTGTTGAGTCTCAGAAGACACAGGTACACCTATCACATCATACATTATCTCTGGATACCCAGACCACAAATTAAAGTGGGGTTCATTCTTCTAGGGGCAGCTTGCCCTTGCACAGAACTGTGCGATAGTAGGAAGCAGACTCAGCACTGTGGTATTGTAAGCAAAATACTATGCTTCTCTTATATTCGGGAATGCCTGTGCACTTCTTAATGGATTCTCATCATCAGCTGGCACTGACTGGTTTGCCGAGCCTTGATGAAAAATCTTCTGTTTAAACATATGGTTCCCCACATCCCTCTGCAGTAGGAACTTCCACTGGAAACTGCTGCAAGGTTCATTTTCTTATGAGGAGAGAGCACTGGAAACACAAGGCATTTTTTAGGGACATCTGTTTATTTACAAGTATACACACTGAACATGGGGCAGCAGACAAGCACGGAGAGAAAATGCTCATCTATAAAATACAATCAGGTTTCCACAAAGCAAACAGCATCCACTTGGACCACCCATCCAGTTTTTCCTGTCAGCTGCAAAACTCAGACCTTTGTCCCACTTACTGCTACATTCCAAAACCAGACTGCTTCTTCCTCGTCACACATGCATGCATGCATTGGCAAAACATTGCTTTTTACCCCCACCTCCAGTAAGCAAGTATACCCTATATTTTCCCTTGGAAGCAACAATTCATCTTTAGAGCTCATTAGAGGAATACATGCAGATGTTAGGCAGGCAAAAGCTAATGGATAGTCCATTCTTTTCCTTCACACTCATACAACCCAGTAATTTTTCCATTATTGTCATGTCCTGCTTTCCCTATCCCTCACACCTCCCAGTGGTCTTCCCAAACCCTTCCAGTTGTGTTGGAATACAACTTCCATTTCCCCCTGACTGTTAGCCACACTAGCTGGAGCTCATGGGAGTTGTATTCTGGAAGATGCCCTTATTGAGGAAGACTGGCCATTCTCCATTGCTTCCAAATCACCTCCTCCTACCCATGCCTGTTTCCCCATCCTCCTTTGCTATGCTGTAGCATCAACCTGCCTTGTATTTTATTTGAATCTGTTCTTGAGCACCCAACTGCAGCCACCACAATGGCACTAGGGGAATAAGTCCGTTCCACCTATTGCTGCAAGAGAAGTGATGCCCATTTCCAAATGCTGTCTGTCTCTCTCATTCCACCAGCTTGTGGGGAGGGGAGAAAGAAAGCTATGTTTTGCAAGCAAGAGCAGCAAAGCAGAGACGCTCCACTTGCAAATGCCAGCCTTGTCTCTTCCCCTGCCAATCAATGGTGGGGAAGAGAGAAAGAGCAGATCGCCATCCCTGTGCTCAGTGCTTTGAAGGGTCCCTTTCAGTGTGGTTCTTGCTGCTGTGTTGTCAGCAGGGTAGGATGCTGATTGCCACCCTTCTCACCTTGCCACCCAGGACACAGCTCCTCTCTCTCTCTCTCTCTCTCTCTCTCTCTCACACACACACACACACACACACACACACACCCTCAGTCCAGGTCTGGCAACATATTGTGTGCATAGATTGATGCATACCGTTGCATATGGATAAGCACCATTGATTTGCTAGGACTCAGTCATGGCATAGTGGGCAGGATTATAGCTTCAAAGACTATTTCCAGTAAAGTAAAGCTAGCAGTGGTGCAGCTGCTTTTGCACGTACAGCAAATCTATACACCATTGTGAATTCCATTTCACATTTGTCTCTACTGTCATATTTTAAGGCAGGCTGTTTTGTGGCAGCAACGGATAATCATCATAATAGCCACACAAAACAAGGTCTCATGTGATTGCTTCTTAGAGCTAAGCTCCAAAGACAGATGCCAGTTTTTGTGCCCAGATTTGTTTCTCATGTTTTTACAAACGAAATTTCAAATGCTCAACAGGATAAACCCACAGAACATACTGACATGATATTTGGAGCCCTGGCTGTGGAATGGTGCATGCTCACATTTGTGTTTAATTTAGGGACCAACGTTGTTGGTGGCCACCAGAAAGGCCTGAATGGACTGGGAATCAAGGCAGGACATGGTGTTTGTCACTGCTTTCCAGGAACTAGCTGTTACTGCGAGAAAGATGATATCAGAGGTAAGTCTGAAGTTTATTTACTGACTTGAGGCTTGTGCTATTGAATGCTCCAACATTTCCATCTTCGAGAGATAAAAAATTCTATGTGTGTGCTCTTCCTCTCTCTCACATGCACATGGGATAGAAGGGTGCATACAGGAGACAACCGCAGATGGAAACTGAAGGATAGTGTATTTCTTCCTGCCAAGGAAACATTCAGTACACAACGAGATTTTGATGTAGGAGCACATTGAAATGAGTGATCATCCTCATGCCTTTGCTAATGGAAATAAACTTCCACACATAACTGTCACCATCTCCTTACTGACTGCCCTCAGGTCACTGTGTGCTGGTTGTGGATTCTGAATTCCACATGCCGATGACTTACAGCTGGGATATGTGCTCTCCACAACACCCAAAAGCATCTCCCTGACTATACTATAAAGCAGCACACATTGCATGAGTTGGGGGCAATTGTGTTGTGAGCTTCCTTGCCCCAAAGCTTTGTCAATGGCAGGAACTCATAAGATGCTGGCTGCAACTCATTTGCTAATAAAATCAGCTTCCAGGGGATGGGAAATTCCCTGTGGCCATGTACACTGATTGCACTATGGTAATAGCAGTAGTAATACAATATGGAGATAATTATTGTGATGTTTAGATTATCATTTTTAAATAGAGATGGAAATGAAGAAAGAGCAAGCACTTTTAATTTTCCAAGGACTCCCCCCCCCATTTAATGGCTGCCATTATCCTTTAATTAACTCTTGATCAAAAGGGAGATTGAAGAAAATTAAAGACTGAGTGAGATGGGACTGAAAAGAACTAAAGACAGAAGGTGTATCTCAAGCTACACAGTTGGCTTGATTTGGCAACACTGATCAATGCAGCCTGCTGATTTTAGGGAGCAAGTATAGCAGCTTTTTAGCAACAGTAAAAGCTGCTCTAACATCTGAGATGTTAGGTAGCTGATGTAGGTGTTCCTCTACTTCCCAAGTTGTTTTCTCCTAATACTTGCTTTCAATAGAGGTGCTTTAAATGTGATTGTTAATTGGCATGGAAAGAAAAAAATTGCGGCAAGTGCCATGACCAAATTATTCTTTATCCACAGAGCCATTGTGTGATTACATGTGCAAAACTGTGATTGCAGGAGGAGTCCTGCTATCCTTCATTATTTCGGTACTCCTTTCTTCCTACTTCATCCATCGCTATCACAAGAATTCTCCAAAGCCACCTATTGCTTCTGCAGAGATGACCTTCCGCCGCCCTGCCCAGTCATACCCCATAAGCTACTCATCGACAAATGTCCGTCGACCGTCAATGGACTCTGAGAACCAGATGTCAGTAGACACGTTTAAAATACCTGTAAGTTTTTCCAGTTTTCAGCTACTTACCATTCGAGGCATATGGAGAATCAGCTTCTATTTACTACTGCTGATTTACCAAGTGTGCGGAAGAGTTCCTGCTTTACTCCCACCATTGTATTTATTTTTCAAATCCTTCTAACAGCTGCCACCTTGTATCTTTACTGTGTCTGCTGTTTACTAGAGCCTTAAATCTACATAGTATCAGTGGTACTTTCAGTTTGGCATAAAACAAGCCAGGTTCACAATATAAGTAAATAAAAGCAACAAGTTGTTCTTTAAAGGGTAAAATAAGGTAAATATTATACCATACCCTCCAACATTTATTCCATGAAAATAGGGACATCCCATTCCATAATAATAATGTTACTGTTTATAACCCACACATCTTACTGGGTTGCCCCAGCCACTCTGAGCAGCTCCCAACATATATAAAAGCATTAATTTTTTTTTTAAAAAAACTTCCCTATACATCCTAAAGAAAAGTGGGACATTCCAGGATCAAATAAAAAACCGAGATGGCTTGTCTAAATCAGGGACGTCCTTAGAAAATAGGGACAACTTGGAGGGTCTGCTATTCTTAAACCCGTTACTGTTTCTTGAAGATTTAGGTTTGCTCTAATAAAGGCTACTGTTACTTTAAGTGGTAGTTGCTTGTAAATATGGAAACTTACACAGAAGTGAAGGAGAGGAGGAGGGTGGAAGAGGAAAAACTGGCAGCAGGGAGAGAGGGGGAGCAGAAATGAATGGAAGGAAGAGAGAGGAAAGGCCCCTCTTCAAGAGATCAGTTCAGACCTCTGGCAGGAGTAATCTGTCTATTTTCTGATAGTTGATAGCTGTCTTGGGCAGAGAGATATACAGAAGGGGGGCAGAAAGAGTTAAGGGGGGCCCTACCCACAAGGGGCACCGGCCCCACCCACAGCTGGCATGCAGCTACCAACAGTTTATCCCTTAGTCAATGCAGGGGGTGGGAATCCTATGCATAATGCTACTTATTAATGTAATTCGTTCAGTTTCCTTTCTTCGCGTATGGCCAATATTCATATGGCGTTTGAGATCTTGGAAAACAACTTGCTGCAAGTTTATCTGCCTGAAAATTAGACCCATATGAATAGAAAATGTTCCATTCAATTCTGTGGTTGTTCCACCTAATACAATAGCTTGTTTGTTAGTTGTATGTCCTTTGGTATGGAACCATAAATGACCGCTTGTTCTACTGGAATGAACAATTAGATTACAGTTAACTAGTCCCTCCAAAAGTCTGCAACTAATTATTTTAGCGTTTCCTAGCAACCTGGTTTGGCTGCTCCTCACTGCAGCTGTATCAGCCATACTAGTACAATATTAAAACCCGTTTGCTTGCTTGAGAAAATTTCAGCTTTTAAAAAGTCAAACAAATAGCAGTCTTTTTAAAAATAAAAAGATAGCTTGTGGTCATCATGGCCACCTGTATTTATCCTGAGCTTTTGTTTTACTATGATTTGAGACTACATGTTTGCATACGTAGTTCTGCTGACTAGGTCAGGAATGACCAAACTTGGGTTTCCGCGGCCCCCTTGCTATCCTTCCTGCATCATATTAGGGGTCTCAGTTGCTATGCACTGCTGCTTCCTACTTGGCAGACAAGCCTTTCGTTTGCCATGGGGAAGAAGGGTGACTGCAGAGAGCCTTGCAGCACACAGCCTGACACACACAAGCTGACATAGGGAAGGATTGCAGGGGCTGTGAGTGTCACATGCTGTACTTCCTCCTCTCCCATTTTCTAAAAAGTGACCTCTCATCACTTGGGGGGAGCACTGTGTAAGAGAACCACATGCTGCTTTTGCACCAGTAACAGGCCACCCCTGAGGCCTCTGTGTCACTGCAAAGGCCTCTGAGATGACTTGTGTGTTACTAGCTGGAGGATGAGGTAAGATTTGGCACGTGACATTCTCCAGCCTTGCTTGCACATTGCAGGCTCCCTTTCCAGTCAAGTTCTTGAACCTGGCTAGAATTCTGTAGGTGCAGCCGATATACTGGGGTAGGAGAGCTGAAAATACCGTATTGGCCCAAATATAAGCTGCACCTTTAAAATTGGAAGGGAAAAAAGAAAAAATACCTGAATCTAAGCTGCTCCATTCCTCGCTGCTCCTGGCTGCATACTTGGGGGGGGGGGGAGCCGTGCTGCATTGCTGGCCTTCCCCCTTCCCCGCTGCCTCCCTTCCCGACCTTGGGGGAGAGGATGGGGGACTATGCGCGGGGCAGGTGCCACTTTGCCACGCTCCTGGCTGCGTACCGTAAGGTCACGAATATATAACGTTTCATGGTTGGAATTTGGGGGGAAAGTGAGGCTTATTTTCAGGCCTACGGTAATAACAATATATTTCACATCTGGCAACCAAGACACCCCTTTGGTTTCAGACAGTACATGGGTTGTCAAGTCTAAAAAGCCCGGGACACAGAAATTTAGAGGCCTCCAGCAGCCATGGTGGCTCATTCACCAGAAGTAATGTATTTAGCTTTAACTTTTGAAGTGTATACTCGATTCTGACCAAACTAGGCCTACTGATGTATATTTTGCTCTAGGAGGCTTAGTTTGGTCAGAATTGAGTATGCACTTTCAGAGTTAGTGCTAAATGCATTGCTTCTAGTAAATGAGCCACCATAGCCACTGGCATTTGCCCTGGGCCACTAGAGTAGAATGAGGTAATAAATAAATAAATGGTCACATAAAAATGAAGAGTAACATCAATAGTGGAAATATTCTTCAGACCCATATGCTACCTTAATTTGCACCAAATAATTTTATGGAATCTAGTTTATGAAATGATCACAGACACAGAGCCACAGGTTACCAACCTTAAAAGTCCCGTTATAAGCTATGCAGAAAAAGCAGCCAAATTAATAATGCTCACTTAATGCCTAAGCAAAACAGAATTCTGTTTAAATGGTAATCTGGTGCATATACACGAAAGGACAGAGGGTGAAGGCTCAGTTCCAGGAACATTAAGCTCAGTGTGGTTGCTAGTGTCATAACCTTAAAAATCGTTCTCTGCACAACGGGGAATCAATGTTGGAGGCATTTTGGGGAGCTTTTGCCAGTGAAACGCTGTCTTTTTGTGCATCTCATTTGTCTCCCTAGGCTATATTTAGATGTTAGGGGATGCTACTTTCATAGAGGCATGTATGCTGTTTGCTTTTGTTTCACTGTTGGTTTATACAGTCATCACTGTTCTGTGACTGTCAGGCTTGATAGGTTCCCGAAACAGAAAGGCAATTGTCTGAGATGAATGGTTGAATTCTAAAACAAGCCTCCCTTCCCCTTCGGTTTCCTCAAGCTTATAAAACGGTGAAATATTTTTACCCAAGAGCATTTACTTCTCATTTCTGGCAACACTGATGGCAGGAGCGCAGATAGTTTTCACCCTAATTGCCACCTATCATGTGCATATACTGGCTTCATAGTTTTATAAAAGGCAACTGCACCTGGGAACTTCAGGGTTGGGAACTAGTCCAATAAATTTGGATTGTGTGTGATCAGGCCTCAGAACCTTCTTCAGTGCAGAAGGAGTGTGTCACTTCAGCCACTGTGTTTGGCAAGCAGGGGAAAAAAACCATTTGGGTTGGCCTGGTCTGGTATATATTATTGCTCTGCCAAAAGTTATCCTCTGTGGGTTTTTTCAACCATTATCCATCAGTTTATAAGAAAAGAAAGTGAAGGTTGTCTCTAGGCCTGGGCAATATATCAATATGAGGAGTACAAGGAGCAGACTATGATGTCAGCTTCACTCATCAGTGTATCACTGGTGAAACCACCACCATTCCTGAGTCCCTCTGCTAGCGATTTTCTCCAGCGAGTGTTGTTAGCAGAGGGACTCAGGAGTGGTGACAGCTTCACCAGCGATATATCAGGAAGTGAAATCGCCATCCCACTCTGCCCTCATACTGCACAGAGGGACAAAAAGGCTGCAATCTGCATCTTTTAACTGTTCAGTTACCGCTCCCCTCAACTGAGCAGTTAAAGGCTCCCCCAGCCCAGCGCTGGCTCCCACGCAAGCGGGGAGAGCTCCGGGCATGGCTCTGCTGGGGATTGGGAGCCCTCTTGTGCCCCAGCTAAGCGTACAAACAAGCTGCCTTGTCCCAGACTGCTAGGGACTGGGGTGAACCACCTCAGCTCCCACAATGAGAGCTGTGGCGATTTCACCAGGCGCCTGGCAGGCTGGCGGCAATGCAGCTTGTTTTTTCAACAGCGCAGTATATCGGCAGGCCACAATGTTTGGCTGGTGATATATCGTGATGCTGAAAAGCTTATATCGCCCAGCCCCAGTGGACTCATTTTAAAGATATTGGGGGGCGGGCAGATTAAGGTGAAAGGAAGGGCTTCCTTTAAAACAATATCAGTGAGTGCATTGCTCTCTGGCTCCTGGTAGCTCAGCATCCCCAGGTCCCTGTGCTTCAATTAAAGCCCAGGTATCTCCTCCCTTAGGGCTTTTTCAGATCAGGAAGCACAAACAGCCACGGAAAGGGGAGAGTGCTGGAGAAATGTTTAATGAAAAGAAAAACACACATACAACGCTTGGCTAACTTGCAACAACCATAAGATAAGCTCAGTCTTACACCCACTGTATTTTTTATTATTAGTATCTAAAATTACCTGCTAATGAGGCAGAAACTTCTTTTGCAAGGGAATAGAACTATTGGCAGATTAAAGAAGGTTTTGGTTGCCTTCCTTCCCCATTTGGCAGAGAGAGAAGGAAGGTTGGAAACCGTATCAGATGACCTGCAGTGGAAAGGAGAGGGAAATGCCACCCATCAAATGCTGTTACTCTTCTGTCTCATGAGATTTACTTTTCCTCTAACACAGGAAGATCCAAAGTGGGAATTTCCTCGGAAGAACCTGGTGCTTGGCAAAACGCTTGGAGAAGGAGAATTCGGGAAAGTCGTCAAGGCAACTGCTTTCAGGCTTAAGGGGAAGGCTGGCTATACTACTGTTGCAGTCAAGATGCTAAAAGGTACTTTTTCTGCAAGCGCCTGGAAATATCTGCAAATGATTTGGCAACTTATGACAGAGGTCCAGCTTGGAAGCAAAAAGCTGCCGGATCCCACATACATTCCAGCCGGATGTCCTAAAGCGTTCTATTTATATTCTGACATTTTCCCCTGTGCTTCATTGATGAGGGCAGTCACTTCCACGGGGCACAAGGGCAACTTGACTTAGCTTGGCCAATGTAGCTCACTTAAATTGTCATCTCAACAGAGGCGTTTCAAGAGCATTCTAAAAATGCTGCGCTTTTCAGCTTTAGCTGAACTCTTTCTTACAGATACTTTAGAGTACAGTATAAAAATAGCACCTCATTGTCACACATAAGATGCGAAAGAGCAACATGCTCAACAGATCTTTCTCTCTAACTATAGCTGCTCTATCGATATACAATGGCCAGTTCTAGAGTACTTGGTTTGTCACAGCAGAGTGTGACAGAAGCGAAGCAGTAGCTTGGGAGGAAGGCCAGCTTGACCATGGGTATGCCCATTGTTCCTTTTGCTGTCCTTCATCTGCCTTCCTTTTCCTGCATGCAGAATGGTCAGGAAACTCTTAGCTTAGATATGTCCAGAGTGAAGAGAGAACGCATTTGGCCTGGTGTGGGGCCACTTCCCCTTTCCCAAGCACATTGGCATTGGGCTGCAGTATATCAGGGGAAGCAGTGATGGGTGAACCAAGGGAGATGAAAGGTAGTATTACCCATCTCTGCAAAGTAGTAATAACAATTTCAAGTTATGAAATGGTAGGGCTATTAAAAAGCTGAAGATCATCTAGTTGAGATATCTGTACCAGGCAGAATGTTATAAACCTCAAACAGCAGTTAAGGCATTATTAGCCTCTTGTTGGCATCCATCTGTCTCGAGAGACAATGGGGTGTGCCTTCGAGGTGAAGTCAAACTGCTGGAGAATCACAGCGCCTGCTGTGGCTACAGAGATTGGTAACTCATAACTGCTGCCTCATGTGCTGTTTTTGCTGCGTTAGCAACACCAAAGTGACCTCTCAGGGGCGCAAGCTTAGGCAGTGTGTATGGAGGTCCTGGGCTGCCCAGATGAGAGCCTTGTTGATGTGGTCCAAAGGAAAGCACAGCAATACATTGGGCACCAGCTTGGCTGCCGGAGTTGCTAGGTGGTGGTGTACTGGACACCATCCAACCATCTTAAGGACTCCAAATTTGGGTAGAATTTACTCCTTAGTCTTGTCTTCTCCCAAAGATGTCCTGCAAGGTAGTGGGACATTAACCTGTATCACCCAGTTAATATTGTGACCAAGCAGGAGCTAGCTATCATCATGCCTACAGTGCAAAGAGGAAGTTTCAGATACCTTAATTCTCAACATCTGCTTCCAGGTTCTGCTGAGTATGCAGTAACAGTGTCCCCCCGTCCCCCCTCCAAGAACAAGGGGATATTAGCAACAGACCTGACTTTTTGGTGCTGAATCATCTGCAAAATATTACTAAAAGAGGAGCAGTTTGAGTTAGATTTCTTCTTTAATGTTCTCAAGTGGTTCTCACTGTTTCCCTTTGCCACCAAATCACAGCAACTTATTCAGGCAAGATACTCAAAGCCATCAAAGAATACAGGAGCTTGGATAGGAGCAGTTTGGCCTGCATTTGTTCCCTACCTGCTACAGCTTCCTTTGCAATAGAGTGATTAGAAGGTTAGGGCTGAGACATGAGGGGTTGTTATGGCAACCCAACTGTTAAAGGTGGGTGTCAGTTAGAGAATCTAGCGGAGCAAGTGTTTTCAAGATAATCTAAGATTGTTTCATGAAAATAAACAAGCCTGATTCACTTCATGCCTCTCAGACCCTCTTATTTGGCTCGGAAGAGGCTAATTTTTTCCACGTGGGTAGAAATCAAGGAAGCACTTTCAGGCTTTCGATACATTATTCATTTAAGGCATTTTAAACCTGCTCTTCAGCTGAAAAAGGCTCCCAGAGTGGTTTACATGAATAATTAAAACAAGGAACACCTTGCCCCTAATTTGTTTAAGATGTTTATTTGCAACCAGTAAGTGCCAGAGATCCAGGTAGTATGTCAGTATTTCAATATTATGGGAATAGTGTTTGTAATTAATATATGGTATTTCTTCCATTGCCCTGTTCTGCAGAAAACGCTTCCCAAAGCGAGCTGAGAGATTTGCATTCAGAGTTCAATCTTTTGAAACAGGTCAACCATCCACATGTCATTAAACTCTATGGAGCTTGCAGCCAAGATGGTAAGTGAGAGTCACACGTTATACAAGTGGGGACCATTTCAGGCATGTCCAATTTAGCATGACTGCTGACGCACGGGTCCTTTTGGACCTGGAGGAATGCGGTAGGACAGGGGCAGGGTGGGCTTATGCACATTCTGTCGATGTGCGCTGTGACCTGGAGCGCAAGCCCCATGGAAATGGGGAGTTGCCTGTATATAAAATATGAAAGAGATGGTATGTAAGCCCCAGAGTGCCGCAAGAGAAATACAAGCTTGGCACAGTCAGTCAATCAGTTTTTCGGTCCTGTGCCCCAAAGTATCCATCAGCAGAGGAGGCTGCCCTTTATTTCTGCTGTGGCACTTTCACTGCTCTGGTCATTCCTACTTCCAAACATATTCCACTGGGGGCCTGTTTTCGCATTGGATGCAATTGCTTTTCTGGTGAAAAGATCAACAGAAATCTGGGCTAAGGAGGCAGCTTGCAGAATCACCGGGCTTTATTGGACAAAGGTGCTGCCGTCTTAGATATTGAAATACTCCCATTACATGTGTATTAGTCAGCTAAAATGGTAGTACCTGTGGCCACCTGCTTTGGACATGACAGGGACACTTTCACAGTGATACGTACAATCCAGCAAAACAAGTAAGAAACACACATACACCTTACTGATAACTTTTTGGATTTGGTCAATTACCGTATTGGCCCGAATATAAGCCACACTCAAATATAAGCCGCACCTTTAAAATTGGAGGGGGAGGGGAAGGGGGAAAAAACCTGAATATAAGCTGTTCCCTTCCTTGCTGCTCCTGGCTGCATGCTAGGTGGGTGGGTGGGAGGTGCACTGTCATTGCTGGAGGCCTTTCCTGTTCCTCGCTCTCTCGCTTCCTGGCCTTGGGGGAGAGGACGGGGGGGGACTACACATGGGGTGGGCGCTGCTTTGCTGCGTTCCTGGCTGCATACCATAAGGTCGCGAATATAAGCCACACTTAAACTTTTCATGGTCGGAATTTGGGGGAAAAGTGAGGCTTATATTCAGGTCAATACAGTGACAGATGCTTAGTTTAGAAATAATATTCCATAAGATGGTGCAATAAAACAGCCGGAGGGGGAATTATTAGTCTGGTAACTTAGGCATTCATTTCAATAGATCTGATGGCAATTGTTGTTGCATAGCAACAGTCTCACATTTGAAGGGGAACTGTGCCTTAAGGGACTGGCATGTGATTTGTTATTCTGCCATACTGAAGTTGGTTGATTTGTGCAGCCGTATATTCAGCAGCACCCCCAGTTTCTGAACTTGCTAATCAGCCACATTCATTATATGTTTCCATATGGCACAATTTATAAGAATTTCATTTGTGGCTGACAGCATGTGGGGAAGGTTTTTGTCGTCTCCAAAGCCCTGGGAGCAGGGTTCCATAGGAGTCCCTGGGGTCAGAGTTTTAGTGCCCTGCTTAGCATCTTGTCCCTCCTATGGGTAGCACGAGCAAGATAAATTACACAAAGTCTATGCAGATGTATTTAATTCGAATAATGTATACAGGCTGCAGCATCCTGCTTTTGTGTATATAAAATTTGGATTCATTTGGCCTGGAATTTCAGGGTGTTGTTATTTTTAAATCAGAGAAGACACAAAGCCCTGCCTAACAAAGATAAATACAGAGCTAGGTTTTAAGGTTGGTGAATGAGTAAAATTGATACAAGCTTCGCACTCTCTTGTTAGCCTGGTACAATAGGGGAGAATGCTAGGAATCCTGCTGTTTCTGGTTTGGATGCTTATATTCTTTATATTCTGTTAAAGCTGGGATAGGAGAGCTTTGAACCTCCAGGCCTCTGTGTTCAATATTGTAGCATGGGGGAAAGCATTCATGTGGGTGGCTGTGATGAGGCAAAGCTTGCTAATGGACTGAAATGTCAGGATCCTTTCTGCAGGAATCTATACTTGAGAGCTTTAACAAACCACTGTAATTAGTGTGCAGGGAGCACAAGATACTGTGAGGATTACCACAGGCTGCAGAAAGTAATGTTCATACCTTAAACTGAGTGCTTTTGATTGGTTTCTCTGCACAGACCAATTTGCATAGAAATCTTCCTTAAACATTCCATAAAACCAAGGAAATATCACAATTTATCTGTTCGACTTTGGAAGAAATGCAGCGTAACACAATTGATTGCTTTTCTTAGACAGGATACCCAAAGGCATGTTCCCAGAAATAAGCACTTTCCATTTCAATTGCCTGTCTCCATGGTGGGAGAACACTTCTGAACATAAGAGTTCACCTTATAGCACTGGGTTTTGTTGTGCTCTTTTTCATAGAAAAGTTTATACAGTGGTACCTCGGGTTAAGAACTTAATTCGTTCTGGAGGTCTGTTCTTAACCTGAAATGGTTCTTAACCTGAAGCGCCACTTTAGCTCATGGGGCCTCCTGCTGCTGCTGCGCCGCTGCCGCACGATTTCTGTTCTCATCCTGAAGCAAAGTTCTTAACCTGAAGCACTATTTCTGGGTTAGCAGAGTCTGTAACCTAAGGTACCACTGTATAATGTTCCTTTAGTGGGGTAGGAGAGGTGGAGGGTGGGGGGAAATCACATCTGGAAACCAGTGTGCCCCTTTGGTTTCAGATAGTACATGGGGTAGATGAGTCTAAAAAGCCTAGGACACAAATTTTCACAACCCCCCAGCAGCTATGGTAGTACATTTGCCAGAAGTAATGTATTTAGCATTAGGTGTATAGTTGATTCTGACCAAACTAAGTCCCCTAGGATTGTGTGCAAATAAGCTTTACAGTGGTACCTCGGGTTAAGTACTTAATTCTTTCCGGAGGTCCATTCTTAACCTGAAACTGTTCTTAACCTGAAGCACCACTTTAGCTAATGGGGCCTCCTGCTGCCGCCGCGCCGCTGGAGCACAATTTCTGTTCTCATCCTGAAGCAAAGTTCTTAACCCGAGGTACTATTTCTGGGTTAGCGGAGTCTGTAACCTGAAGCGTCTGCAACCTGAGGTACCACTGTATATTCAGATTTGCTTGATATGCATAATTTAGGCTGTAGTGCTGCAAGGGAGTAAGACCCATGGATCTTAGTGGGACTTAAGTCTGAGTAAGCATGCATAGGACTAGACTGTTAAAATAGGTAACAAAATTAAATGGTTTTTTGGGGGTGCAGGTGTTTGTTTGTTTTTAAGTACAAGGTGTATAAATCTTGCTGATATGCTGCTTTACTAATTATTGAGAACAATAATTTTTATGTATCTTTTTATGCCTCAGGGCCTTTGTACTTAATAGTCGAATATGCTAAATATGGCTCCTTGAGGAGTTTTCTGAGGGAAAGCCGGAAAGTTGGGCCCAGCTATATGGGGAGTGATGCCAACAGGAATTCCAGCTACCTGGACAATCCGGACGAGCGAGCCTTAACCATGGGTGACCTGATCTCGTTTGCATGGCAGATATCTCGTGGAATGCAGTACCTTGCTGAAATGAAGGTATGGCATCCCTCATTCTCACCCTCTCTTTGCGGCCTTCCAAGTAAGCATACATGACAGTTAAACGTCTTTCTTTCTTTTCCCCAAAGCTTGTACATCGTGATTTAGCAGCCAGAAATGTCTTAGTAGCCGAAGGGCGTAAGATGAAGATTTCTGACTTCGGTTTGTCACGAGATGTTTATGAGGAGGACTCTTACGTCAAGAGGAGCAAGGTACAAACACAGTCACTGGCAGCCTGGGATTGATAAATTGATAAGGAAACTATACACATTAGTAAGAGAACTTCTGGACACACACATTGAAACATGTCTAGCAGGACTCATCAGTGCACAAACTTTTGTGTGCCTTGAGATTGTAAAAAGGAACAGCTAATATAGGTTGTGTAAAACCTGTGTATGTAGCCTTCTGTTTTTGATCTTGTGCAAGCTATTTACTTTCAATCCAAGGGTTTCCCCGGTGCATCCATGTTTTGCTGTAATCCATATGAATGAAATGCACATTTTCTGATAAAAGGCATATGAGACTACTTGACAACATGCATGTTAAATGTGACAAAAGTGAAATGAAAACAAATGTGACATGAGAAGCAGTGCTAAACAGAACTTGCAAGCAGTAATAGTTCTTTATTTTCCTGCCAGGGTCGGATACCTGTGAAGTGGATGGCAATTGAATCTCTCTTTGATCACATCTACACAACACAAAGTGATGTGTAAGTCTATGTATTTATGTTCCCTGTCATGCAACTTTGTCTTTGTACTCATGCTGTGCCAGAACACCTCAGGCTGAAGAGGCCATCTGCTCTATAGCCCTACTGTAGAAAACAGAGTAAGTTGTAGCAGGCTGGATAGTCAGCTTCTCAATCACAAGATACCCAGCATCTCCTGCAAGGAGGAGATTAAACCTTAGCTAGCAGTACCTCAAGGTTTGTTTAACAAGCTTTTACTGGCCAAGGCATTCATGAAGCCTCACTTTCCGCTAGCTTTCTGCAGTCCTCCAAACACATTTGCTGTAACACTGGACAATATAAGGTGAAATGGATTGCTGTAATCTGGACAAGGCTGAATTTCCCTAGAATCAGAAGCCCTCTAACCCAGGGATGGGCAACCTTTTTCTGTCAAGGGCAGCATTCATAGAATTGTAGAGTTGGAAGGGAGCATCAGGGTCATCTAGTCCAACCCCCCTGAAATGCAGGAATCTTTTGTCTAATGTGGGCTCAAACCCATGACCCTGAGATTAAGAATCTCATTCTGTACTGACTGAGCTATCCTATGCTTGAGGGCAATCTGTCAAGGCTGCATGCCCACAGTAGGCAGGGATAGAGCCAAAAGTGGGCAGAGCCACCCATTTTCTCTTTGTCTAGCACCCTGTTTTCTTTCCCCTTCCCCACCAAATGAGTTGCTAGCAGAGGGACAGGTCACTCTTGCCACAACGCTGTAATGATGAAGGGGGGAACCTTTAATCACTTGATGCCACAGCATAATCTTTAGATTACATGATAGTTCCACCCTTGAACCTACAGTCCATTGTAGTGCATTGTCTCTGACCCCCAGCTCCCCAACGTGCTATTTTGCCCTGCAAAGAATTGCAGCTCATCAGATTTCATACACAACCAGTAAACCTCTATCTTTAATGTTTGTCTAAAGTGGAGGATCTGAGGACATACATAGCTCTTGGTGGGAGAAGCCTGAGCCATGCCACTTTCTCTCTTTTGTGCCATTATGAAGCACAGAGGCTTTCTTGAATGCAAGCTGGTGAATTTACCCTTCAGAAATCATGGGGTTTTTGTCCATTTTCCTTTTGCTGGCATTCCTGTTTTCTCTCTCCTTGCCTCAGTAATGTTCTGTATCTGTGAAATAAAATAGACTCCGTCTGAGAAATTGTGGTTTCTTTAGTATGAGATCACATTCCCAGGACGTTAGGTGTCGGGACTTGTGTGCACAGATGGGGCCCTCGGAATGCAGTTTGAAGAATTGTGCTGGGTTCTGGGCATGAAGAATTCTTTTGTACTTAGCAAGCTTTTTGCTCATATTCCAGTGACCAGCAGAAGTAACCACAGCATGCTGGGAAATAGCCAGCTTGAACCGTACCGGGGGGGGGGGGAGAGAGAGACTTTCCACCAGCTAATGAGGGGAGCTTAACAAATACAATCTGGCTATTTAACATGTATTCTGCTGGTGACATTACTTTGTGCAAGTGTTCATTCAAGTCCACGTCTCTCAGCGTGATTCATGCTAAGGAACGGTGTTTTGGCAATGTGCACTGATCAGTTAATTAGAACTAAAGGTGGCCAACATTCATCTAGTGGTAAACATCCCTGCAAATCAGTCACCTGAATTTATCAATGTGTTTGTGACCCTTCTGTGGAACCTTCAACTACAGAAGCATGGAAGGGCAGCATCACCTCCATGTGAACTGGCAACTGTGGGAAACAATGTTGGTCAGATAATGGCAATACAACTCTTGTGTCTCAGTTATCTGATTGAAGTGTGCTATTTAGCAGTGAACAGGTCTAAGGCAAACATAAAGCATGATAAAGTACAAGTTACACAGGGCTGGGGAACCTTTGGCCTTTGGGCCAGATTTGGCCCGCCAGGCCTTCCAATTTGGTCCACCAGACCATTTCCCCAAACCCACACTTACCTGTCCTACACCTGATGTCCCATGTGAAGTCAGTTGCCGGGAAGGTAAAGATGTGGTTGGATCAGCTATATGTGCACCTGAAACCAGAAGATAGCAAGAATGAATCAATGCTACACATCAATCCTGCTTGGTCAATGTCTACCCCCCGCCCCTGGCTAACTTTATATAGGTGGGCAGGCCATTATGATGTCAGATGATTGACAACTGGGTGACAGCAGCATAAAATGGTGAGGGACATGGGGAGTGGCAGATCTTCAATGAAAAGCAACACAAAATGCAATAAATAAATTGAGCAGGAGCTTGGAATAGGTATAGGTTAGTATACTAACTAACTAACATGACCCATAAGGACCCCTCCAATGCTATAACTAATTCTGTGGCAAACTGTTTTTACAGAAACAAGGAAGAACCTTAGAAATAAAATTCAAATTACTGTAAACCCTGTTTGGCATCATCATAGAGAGAATGATAAAACTGTGTGGAAGAGGCACAGATTCAAATAAAAGGCATATAAAGGGAACAGATGGACTTCAAAAACTCTGTGAAAGGTTATCTGACTTAATTAATTAAACCAAACATCAAGGAAGTTGCAGAAAGTTTCTTTCCATGCTAATAATAATGGTCTGGTTAAGAAAAGAATGTAAAAAAACCATATGACCAAATGAGGCAAGCAGTTCAGTTATGCAACCATTTTTGCAAACCAGTTCCTTACCGAAGTAATTTCTTAAAATTTATGAAGCAGAATGAAAAAGGTTTCAGTTGCCAAAAATTTCAGGAGGAATCCCATCCTAGTTAGTTTAACACAGCTTGTGACTGCAAAGCTGAAAAGTGTTGAAAAAGTCCCAGCCACTTAGAACACATTCAATCTCATACAGCTCATTAGAAAAATGCACTGTTAATCACTTTGGTTACAGGGTAGTCACTTGCACATTACAAAAGAAGAAGAAGAAAGAGAGAGAGTACAAGTTTGCCTAAATTTTGCATGTGCTAATAGATACATACATCTTTCTCTATGTACAGATGCACATTTATAAATAATGCCTATACCTTAAATAGAACTACAGTGGAACCTTGGTTGTCAAACACTTCAGAAGTCAAACATTTCAGCTTTCAAACGCTGACAACCTGGAAGCAAATGCTTCCGAGGCGCATTTCTCTATTTTCTCAATGGATTGTCCATTGAGCCTCCGTTGTCGAACATTTCTGAAGTCGAACGATCTTCCGGAACGGATTACATTCGACAGCTGAGGTTCCACTGTACAGTACATCTCACCATTGTGGGGAATACTGTGGCCAAGTGATCTGTGTGCCTGATCTGTTTGCTGCCCAGGTGCTAACTGTTGAGGGACAACTTCAAGGCGCCCACTCTCCTTTCTTATGGTTATCTTTTAATTAGACATAAGCAGGGCAGCCCTTTGAATAGAGGATTGGAGCCACTGATTTAAGGGGAATAGCCGTGTCTCCCTTTCTCTGGATTGTGTTTTGTGACTAGGATTGTTGATCCTAGTTATTTGAGAGCTAAAATAAAGCTTTTCCTTTTTTAAGTTAAATGCGCAATTGCAGCGTGCAGTTCAGCGAAGTTGCAATAGAACATTGGGTTGTATCCATCATTAGTCATATTTAGAGTAGACCCGTTCAAATTAATGCAAATGACTAACTTGTATCTATTTTGAGTAAAACTTAGTTGTATACAACCCCATAGATTTTGCAGTGTGAAAGCGAATTCTAGAAAACAATCAGCTTCATCAGATATGTAGATTTAGTTTCACCAGTGCACAACTGATGTGCACTATGGAGGCTGGAGTAAACTTCAGTGTAAGCCCATTACCCTAATGCTTCCAGTAAATATTCCTTTCTTTTGTTCTCAGATGGTCATTTGGAGTTCTGCTTTGGGAGATAGTCACTCTGGGAGGTAACCCTTATCCAGGTATTGCGCCTGAGAGACTATTTAACCTCTTAAAAACAGGCTATAGAATGGAGAAGCCAGAAAACTGCAGTGAAGAAATGTAAGTAGCATCAAGCTGCCAGCATTGCTAATCAAAGAGATTCCATTAGTTGATTATACCAATAAAATATTATGATAGCTGCTCTGATTTAGGTCTTTTCCAGACAGAAGGTCTTGAAGATGTAGCTTGAGTGAGTTTAGAAAAACAAAGAGGAGGTGTCACACCTTGCCATCATAATGAATTGTGAAGCAATGAACTCAGACATAAAACTTGACATATAAATAGACCAAAGATATGAGCTGGAGCTAGGTGAAAAATTCTATTCACCGATGCATTTGGTGGAGGCAGGATAATGCACCCATCAGACAATTCAAAACAGAAGTTGAACATACCCAAAAATTATTGCCTCAGATCAACACACCCATGGCAGGATAGGCTATTCATATGCAACCATCGTTTTTCCTTGGGGAGCCAATTATATACAGGGGTGTAATTCTATGGTTAAGAGATGGCTGAGTCGTTCAAATGGTACACCAGCCACATAGGAGCTGCTTGCGGAAAAGGCAGCACCCGTGCCACTATAGAGCATTTGAAGGACACCAATGACTGCTTTTAGGGCTGCGAGTAAGTTTGTTTCTTCATTCGCTTACACAGTGGCTTAGTTATCGGCTCAGTTATCCTGCTTTAACTTGCAGGCTGAAAGGCATCTTACAAAGGATTTTTTTTTTTTTAGCCACCACCAAAAACATTGGATCCAAAAGCAATTTAACCATAAATGGGTTGCTTGTTACGGTATCTTATCTTCCTGGCTGTTCCAAACAGCCAACTCTCTGTGCAGGCTCCTGCTTCTCCCTCAGTCCTGGGGAAAGGCAGTAGGCAGCTTTGCATGGATTCTTCACTTTTTTAAAACAAAAAACAATGAAGATCACACAATGATAAAATTGAATTCTGCAGTCTGTATGAATTAGATGTCCCAATAGCACCCTGCCTCTGCCTGCTTGCCACTTCCTTGTTGATCACTACGTGATCTGAGTAGAAGCAGCTTGTTTATACAAGTTGGCCAAGGGTTTTGTGTAGAGGAGGAGGATAAGAAACCATTTTATTTTTTTTGAGCCAGAGAGTCACGTTCCCTTGTGTGGCTAACCTTCTGAGGGGTGGGCAATGTCACAGTAGTGGAAACTCACCTGAAATTCTCACATGTCTACACACATACAGCAATTAGGTATTAGAGGGTTTTTCAAGCTTAATTGCTTAGCGGGGGTATGATCTTAATGGTGAGCACAGTCAGTAGGGAGTGAAGAGTTAATATTTCTCTCCATTGCTGCGGTCTCCATGAAGATACCGTCCCCCTGCAGGGCAGTTAAACTTTTTTAAAACACTTCCATTGTCACCAGTGGTAACCCAACCTAACTCCTGGATTGAGGTCAGATAAGGAGGGGAGACCGCACAGGTTGCATTCAGCCCATCCTCCTTGGTGTAGACACTTTGATTACTCTGGCGCTGTTGCCACTGCTAAATGTTTGGGTCCATTTGTGCATGTGAAGCATCTCCACAAAGTATTTGTATTAATCAATATGTGTCTTCCTGAAGGTACAATCTGATGCTTCGCTGCTGGAAACAAGAACCAGATAAGAGGCCGACATTTGCTGAGATCAGCAAAGAATTAGAGAAAATGATGGTAAAGAGCAGGGTAAGTGCCTTTCAGGCTTTATCACTGTGCATGAAGGAAAGTTGGAAAGATTTTCCAGCGCAAGGATTTACATACCAGTAATTGGTAAGACATTGTCCATTTTTCACCTTTGAAAAGAATTCATCTTTCAAAGAATGATTCATCTTTGAAAAGAATGAGATCAAATAAGAGTCCAAATGGGGGATATTTGAAATTGGGAAGCCCTACCTGAGAGGAGGTTGATGGTTCAGAGGAAGGGATGCAATTGCATATCACAAAAAGCTTTTTCTGGTGGCTGATTACATTTTTTATATACACCAACAAACCTTAATGTGCAAAAATGCACTTATATTCACTTGGTATTAAACTTTTATGATCCTTTTGACCCTAGACACCACTCACTTACCTGTTTGCAGCAACATATGATTGCAACAAACAGGTGTTTTGAGAACACATGCTGCATTCACCAGAGACAAGATTACCTGTGCCCCCCTCTTAAATGGCCATTTATGGGGCAAGCCCAGGTTATTTGCTCATAAGCGACTTGAGTCTGTTTCACAAATTGTCATGGAAGGAAAATTCTACAACAGTTTTCTTTGTCTAGTTGTAAAAGCTAAATAACTAAATAAATGAGTAGCTGAAGATCAAACTCCTGTAAAGAAGTAACTGGCTTATACCAGCATTCAGGTTTCAAGTCACTTGTTTTTCTAAGTGATGTACCCTCATCTGAACAAAGTGTTGGAAGTTTATGGGCTGCGTTAAGGTACCCTTCCCCCAGTTCCTCTGAAAGCTTTGGTGCCTTTAAAACTGTTTCTTCTGGCAGCTGCTGCTCACAGCCAGCTCCAGTTCTTTACAAGGCCCTGTGATCTCTGCCCTCGCCCCCCAATCAGAAGAGCTGATGTGGGTGGGCTTTGGCTCATTGGTACTCCTTGACAAACAGAGCTAACTGTGAGCAGCAGCTGCTGGAGAAGAGTTTTTTCAAGCCACAGAAACCCCATTAGAAGCTTGGAATTTGACCAAGGAAGAAGAGGAGCACATTCCTGCCCAACCTCATTTCCTTCTAGTTGAAGGGGAGAGGTGGAAAACTGCATTTGCATGTGAGAAACCTGTGCTGAATTATACCAACCTCATTGACTGCCCCCTCAGATTAGATATATACTTTTATGAAATATATGTTAGTTATTGCTGATCACTGCCCAAAAGTTTTCCTTTAAGGCTCTAGGCATTTGGGGATGCATCATGCTGCAGCCCTAGCTTCACTTAGCTGAGGGAATTGGGCTGTCATTCATTCATGTAAAACCCAAATACCTATTTCTCATTAAGTAGAGAACAACAGATCATTTAAGTGTAGATAGATGCAAAATGTCAAAATCCAGAGGTAGGTTAGTGCAGCAGGGAAAAAGTAGGTTTTGTTATGTTTGTATTTTGTTTTGTTTTTTTTACTGGAATCCCCCAAATTAATAAAAAATACTGTTCTGTGAAAAACATTTTTTAAACAAAAGTCTGGATAAACACAAACTTTCTTCTTAAAAGGGTAGTATAAAAGGCCAAGCCCAGCGAGGCTCAGTTACTTGATTTCTAGGAGTCCTTTTAAAGTCATTTCCAAATGGCAATTTTCAAAATGGCATCGAAAAACAGGTTTAGGAGGACACAACCCTCTTGCCAGCTTCGAGTAGCTTCATCTAGTCCATATGTGCTTTATCCAAGTATTTGCTAAATGAACCTTCCCCTCCCCAAATCCAAACTCTACAGGACTGGCAAAGTGTAAGTATCTCCCCACTCCTTGACGAGTAAACTAATCAAAATTCTGCACGATGGTAAGATGCTGGGCTTGAGAAAAATCGCTCAGGTAAGCTTGTGCTAATAAGTACTAGCATTTACGTGGAAAAATACATGGCCAGAGGAAAAGGTCCGGCAAGTTGCTGTGTATGATGGACAGAGGTACCCATAAAATAGACCCTGCTGACTTCCCAAACTGGAGTTTCAAGCTTTTTAAGATAAAGAAACTAGAATGTCAGGCTGACCAAACCTTAACTATCAGGACATCTGGTTCATCACGCTCTGCAGCAACAAATAGCTATTTGCATACTTGGTAAGTGTAGTTAATGTGTTCATTAACTGCCTCTTGGAACAGTTTATAGTTATAAATACACACACACTACTCCAAGACGCAGTTTCCCAGGAAGGGCAATACTATGCCATGAGTAGGGAGTTGGACCTAACAGTGCACAGTCCAGATATTCATAAGGAATAATGGGATTTTAAGAAATCCAAATGATTCAAAAAGCAAAGCTTCACATTGAAAGGAAGTCCATTCCAGAGTGATCAACTCACAAGTAACGTTTGTGATTTTTTCCAATGAAAGGGAAAAGGTGGACAAGGTGCTTGGATCGGTCAGGAAAACCACTTGTGCTGTGGACCCTTGCCCCTTGCTAGCAGGGAGGGGACAGCTGACTGGGCCAGGGAGGTGATTAATGCCTTCTTGCAAGAGGGAGTGGTCCCTGCCCTCTTGAAGGGGGCACTGGTAAAACCACTTCTCACTGGCTGCCAATGCAAAGTGTTGATTTTACCTATAAAGCCTTAAACTGCTCAGGACCTCAATACTTCAAAGGCCACCTCTCCCCACATGAACCGACCCAGACCCTGCAATTATCACCAGAGGCCCTTCTTTGCATGCCTCCACAAGAGGTCCAGAGGGTGGCAACATGAGAATGGGGTTTTTCTGTGGGGGTTCCCCATTTGTAGAATGCTCTCCCCAAGGATGCTTGCCTTGCTCCTTTGTTACCTATTGTTAGGTGCCAGGAAAAAGCATTCCTCTTCTCCCAGGCCTTTGGCTGATTCAACAAACTATAGCTTTGAAACTGGGGTGTGGGTATTGTTTTTGTTTGTTAGAATGTTATATATTTGTGATTTTATATTGTATACCACCCTGTGATCCTCAGATGAAAGGTAGTATACAAATTTTATAATGATGATGATGATGATAAAAAAGTATTCCTCTTCCCAAATATGGTAGTCAGGTAGACCTTGTCTCATGAAGCCATCTGATGGAGCAGACCTAAAGTCTGATTTCAACAGTGGCTAACCGGATTCCTCCTGGAAGCTTATAAGCATGTAATGAAGGCAACAATCTTCTTTTGTGGTCCTATTCTAAATAATTACTATTAGAACTTTACACCACCTCACCTAGCATCTTATGTCCAGCTGTGTCTGTTTCTGAAATTTCACAGAAAAGGGGGGCATTACCCTTTCTAGGGGGCTGGAATCTTCCTGATTCCAGCAGTAACCCTTTCCCAACGTACCAGATTCATCAAATAAATCCATTGCTTCTGAAATGGTTCCCGATTGCTCAGAGGAGCTTCTGTGCCATGCTGATAATCATACTCGGAACGCTTCTGCTATCCTGGAAGAGGCACAACATTTTCCAAGTCTGCCTGCCAGACTCACTATGTTAACTTGCTGGCAAAGGACATCGCTCACGGGGAGCCGTAATTGAGCATATGTCTAAAGAAGCATGTCTAGTGTTACTCCAAACAAATGTGTTGCCAAGGATACCATTCTTGCAGAAAGCAGGTTGGTGATGATCTCATCCATACTGATCCTTTAGTGCTCAGTTTAAATGGTGAGAAATGTGGATAGAAATGATAGCCAAAGAGCTGCACTCTCAACCAACCCTAATCCCTCCTCTCTCTTTTCTTAAATCTGTTTAGGACTACTTAGACCTTGCAGCTTCCACCCCATCCGACTCCTTGCTATATGATGATGGACTCTCAGAAGAGGAGACACCCCTCGTGGATTGTAATAATGCTCCCCTCCCTCGAACCCTCCCTTCCACATGGATTGAAAACAAACTCTATGGTAGAATTTCACATGCATTTACTAGATTCTAGCAACACACACACCCAAAGTGATTTTCTTCTGCACTGTCCTCACACTCTCTGTAATATCCTTTAGAGCGTTATTTGTCTGAATGAAATCAGTCAAAATTTGCTTGGCAAGTCTTTCTTTTCCTTTCATTTGTCACTGTCAAAACTCTGCATTAGGTTCTTACTTTAGCCGGTTCTGCAGCTGTGTTTAATTTTTTAATTTTTTTTTAAAGAAAAAGGATGTGAAAACGTGCAACTTTACTAAATATATATTGTATAATAAAGAAAAAAAACTAATTCCTAGATCAGGGAAGTACTCTCAGGGGAAGTTTAAAAAAATGCTAGCAAATATTCAATTAAAACTATACTTTTCGGTATCCATGGAATTGAGAGCACTTCAAGTGCATCATTTAATATGGCATCTCTAATTTTAGGTAACTTTTTTTTTACCACTTGAAGATTTTTATTCCCCCCTTCCCCTCACATTTCACTGTTAAGAGTCCATTGCATAATAGTCCTTGTTTTTATTCTGATGGATTCCTGAATTTCAACTGTTGCCTGTATATTTTCAGTTCCCCGTCAGCCATGGCTGCTTACTAAGTAGTGGAATTTAGGGTGGGGGCAGAGAAGGGAAGTCTAAAAGAGTCACCTTGCAATGCAGAGAAGTCAGAGTAGAGCAAGTACAGCTGTGTATTTCATTGGAAGCTGAATTGGTGAGGACCACATGAAAGCAACCTCTTCTGTTTTCACATGCTTTTGGTTTCTCATGAAAATGTCAACATCTAAGCCATGTTTTGAATGTTGTCGCAAGTGTCTTAAAAGGAATGTGCTTTAATATTGTGGTGGTGAGATGGACAGTAAAGATGGTTCTTGCCAAAACTCCTACATTTTTTTGTCTTGTAATTAAATGCTCTACATGCCATTTAATGCTTTCAAATTGCTCTAATTCAAGCCATGTGGCTTTCCCCCTTTGCCCATTTTTTTATTTGTCAGCATTGAGGTACTGATTTGGAGCCTAATGTTGGAGCCCCCGTTCTTCAATTCATAGTTAGACTCTTAAATTAATGGGCATGTTTTTAAGATGGCTTATGTACCAGGCTAATCTTTCCGAAGTCAATGAATTATTTGAATGCCCCTTGAATAGTCTAGAGTAGACCATAGTTGTTATATTCAGGTTCCAAAAGAAATACTTGGAGATTTATTTGTGTCTTAGACTTCAAGGCATACTTGCAAGGAGTAGTCCTGCCCCACCCCCCAAACTAAACAGAAACAATTAGGTGATTCAGGAAGAAGAGCGAGAATCAAATCTGACATTCATGAGACATTCACTGGCCCCATGGAAGCTGTTCCAGGGCCCATTAAAAATATATATGCTTATGTACATACATCCTATTGACTTCAATGGGATGAATGTTTTTAGGAGTGAAACATGCATGCTAAGTATTTAAACTTGTCAGAATGGAAGACTATGTAGGCTTACTACTGCTTTGAGCACTTTATTTACCACAGGAATACTCCATTGCAATAACCAATCTGCTGTATTCCCATGAAGATACAACATTGTGAGATCCAAAGACCTATCAGGAGCTTGTACTGGGGATATATATCAGGAGAGCACTTTATTTTTCATTGTTTTGGCCTTCACTGCAACCTGTGCTTCAGTGCCTTTCAAACACAGTTATCTGTTTGGTTTTCTTGTGTTTTCTTTTCTTCTTTTTGTGGTGGTGGGGATATTTTGTAATTTGGCTTGCAATTGTTTAAGGGAGTTTTGCCAAGGGCCTTACTGTCTGCACATGAAGTTTTGGTTCTTCAGTGCAGAAAAAATTATCTGTTTTCATTTTTAGGCATGTCATACCCGAACTGGCCTGAGGAGAGCCCCGTTCCACTCACAAGATGCGATGGCCCTAAGTCTGTGTTTTCAAGATATGCAAATGATAGTGTATATGCTAACTGGATGGTTTCACCCTCAGCGGCAAAATTTATGGACAAGTTTGATAGTTAACAGTTTCTTGGTTAAAAAAAAAAAAGGTAATGGACTCAGGAGGGGAGCAAATGTCCAAAGAACGGCCTTCCCTTTGGCTCATTCTTTGCATAGTAACAACTGGTTGAAGCTACAGGAACATCTAGAATGGGAAATGTTCCTCTTACTTTTGGGTAGTACCTAAAGTGTCTTCTCTCTCGTGTGATGAATACTATAATTGACTCCCTGCCCCCTTTTAAAGTTGTATCAAACTGGGTCACATGATAGTTTCAATTCCTCCGTTGGTTTTTGCCATTCTCCAAGCAGTCCATTTTGGTAGCTGTGTTTTTACGCAGTAGGACCTTCCTACTTAACAATGTTCAGGGCAAAGACCCAGTTCTGGAATGGATATGAAGAGGGTGGGGGCAGGGGAGGACCACTGTTGTTTCACTATATAAACTGCTATCTCTATGGTCATTGCTAAGAAAAAGCAAACTGATCCAAGCATGAAGCACAAATTATATGATGGGAACAATTTTCTCTTTAAAAAAATTCCTGAGTTTGCTGTAGCGTTACGTGTTACCATGTTGTTGGCAGTAACAAATCCTGAGTTAATGGGGTTTTGGGGACCAAGACATTGAACGATTCTAGTCAGTGCTGAGATTCAACTTTTCAAGTCTTGGAACCCTATAGAAATATATTGTTCCATCTTAACGGGAAAAGAGGTTTTTGTTGAAAAATCAGGGTTAAACTATTCTTAACTTTAGCACAATGGAAAGTTTTTGATATCAAATATACTTTAATAGACTTGACCTACAGAGTGCCCACCTGACACAACTTTTTTCTTTACGTCCATTTTACTGATGTCTCAAAATCTGCTCAGGATGTTTTGAAATGAGCTGAAGCCAAGGAACCTGGTTAGCAGTCATGCCCAGAGGGTTTTTGTCCTTTCGGCTCAAAACTCTCTTAATTTCTGCAACCCAATTGCACAACCATATGGGACAATGCAGACACAGCACTGGTTCCCTGTTAAGAATGGTTGATACACTGGGAGTCAGGCTTAGAATTGTGTGCAGCCTCCCTCCCCCTTAATTGCATTTACATGGTTTGGATCACCAATGTTCGCCATGGTTAATGTTAAACAGGGTTCCCCATATCCCAGGATTTGAATCCCTCTTCAAACTTCTTTCAGACCATGGTAAAAATGGGAATCCTGGTTAGCCAGTTAACGTTGGTGGTGACAAACTGGTTGTGGTGAAGGAGAAACAGCCTGCAAAAGAAAGCACACCTTCCCAAGGCCAGTTCCTTGTTTTTAACAACAGGTAACAGGGACCTCCTCTTGCATTAACCCCTGGAGAACTTTTAATTTTCACACTTATTTTCTTGTGAATCATGTGCAGACAAAACTTTTTATTCAATGTAGTCTTTACTCTTTTTTTCTTTTTTCTGTCCATATGGCTAATATGTCTAAGGGTTTGGGTTTTGTTTTTTTGAGAGTAAAGCTAATAATTGATGTGATGTTTTAACTTTAGTGTGGTGTTTTGGAAGATAATCTGACTCCTGCAGAGGTTAGATAAAATGATTGATACACACGGCATTATGTTACTGTATTTTGTTATGAAGTTACAATGTTAAGGAAGGGGAATGCTGGAATGTTAACTCAATGTGTTTATCCTTTTTGGATACTCTTGCATAATCAAAAAATTATACCAAAGTATTGCTTCTGTCTCTTGGGTTTCAGCTATGTAGTTCTGTGTGTCTCTTTTACATGTCCCATATTCCAGAAATCAATGAGTCAGATTGCCAAAAACTGTAACCACTCTTTTAATGCAAGAGGTCTGAACACCTCAACAGGATAACATTGTTTGAAAGTAAGCCTGTTCTCAGACAAAGGGACAGGTTAAAGTTATTGTTCTGTAAGCTAACTACTACGCTAGACACTGTGTTTACAATAAAAGATAACTGCCTACAGAGATGTGAAACAGCCCTGATTATACTGTAACAAGCAATCATCTCAAATAATAAAAATGTAAATGTCATAGGCTTGCTACTTCATTGTTGTTGAGAGGAATTATTTGTAAGGACTCAAACCCACAGTGGGTATTGCTGCTGTGTGTCAACACCTAACCCAAGTCAAAGGAAGGAAGGACAGACAGCAAACCAATATATGAGCTTCATAAAAACCTTTTGGATCTAAGTTTGACCACACTTCTGACCAACAAAGAGAGCACTTCCTCCTGCTAAATACAGATCACCTTTGCTTTCCTCCTACTCTGCTTTTGCTGCATCCTGTTCTTGAATACCAAAGAGCTGGATCTGAACTGTACCATCTGTATCTACCTTTCTTACTAGAATTAAGGAGAAATCATATACATGGGTGGTGGTGTGGTCTAAACCACTGAGCCTCTTGGGCTTGCTGATTGGAAGGTCGGCAGTTCGAATCCCTGCAACAGGGTGCGCTCCTGTTGCTTGGTCCCAGCTCCTGCCAACCTAGCAGTTCGAAAGCACGTCAAAGTGCAAATAGATAAATAGGTACCGCTCTGGTAGGAAGGTAAGCGGCATTTCTGTGCACTGCTCTGGTTTTGCCAGAAGTGGCTTAGTCATGCTGGCCACATGACCCAGAAAAACTGTCTGCGGACAAATGTTGGCTCCCTCAGCCAGTAAAGCGAGATGAGCACCGCAACCCCAGAGTCGTTCGCGACTGGACTTAACTGTCAGGGATCCTTTACCTTTTCCTTTTAATGCTCACCTTTTTTGGCCAAATTACGTTGTGATAATTAAGGCGCACATTAGATTTGAGTAAATACAGTATATTCCCTGGGAATAGTCACAACTATCTGATTTTCCCAGGCATAGCAGCTTCCGAATGGAATACTTGATCCTCATTTTGCAACAATTACAGCATGTGGATAATGCTCAGTTTTTCTATTCCAGTATGTTATGGTATGAATGGCTGTCCTATACTCTTGAAGTAAGCAAAGCACTGAATCTGATACACCTTATAGTCAGTAGTTAGAAGGTATTCCATATCATTTGCTATTCATTTTTTGGTCCTTATGCAGCCACTAACCACCCCAATACATTTTGCTGCCCCCTCCACTCCATGTACAGAAGCAAATTAGCATGGCAATTACATTTTTCTTCATTACTGGTGATGGGACACCATCCTCCCCCATTGAAGGAGATGGGTATGTTTAGCCTGGAAAAGAGGAATGGGAGGAGATCTGATAGCCATCTTCAAATAACTAAAGGGCTGTCACATGGAAGCTTGTTTTCTCCTCCTCTGGAGAGTAGGACTCAAACAAATGGCTTCAAGTCACAAGAAAGGAGATTCTGGCTAAACATCAGGAAGAACTTTGTGACAGCTGTTCAACAGTGGAATGGTCTCAGGAGGTTGGACTGTCTTTCCTTGGAGGTTTTTAAGCAGAGGTTGGATGGCTGGCTGTCATGGATGCTTTTGCTGAGATTCCTGCATAGAAGGGTGTTGGACAAGATGACCCTTGAGCTTCCTTCCAACTCTACAATTCTATGAATTCTTTGCAGAAGAACCAACAAAGACAAACTCCATGAGGGTAGGTATATATTCCATATTACAAGCAGAGCTACCCTTGCTCCCTCCATACAGTTCAAATGAATCACAGCAACTGGATTCATGTAGAAGAAGAAGGAATGTGCAGCTACTTTGGCTAGCTTCAGCAATGGCCAAAAGTAGCAAACAGCATTTATAAGCAAAATACTACAGAAAATGCTCTTTTCTCAGACACCCCACCCCAAATAACCAAGGTCCTTTGCACTCCGTCTGAAGCAAATTTCAGCTCTGTTGGAGGAGTACCTTGACCAAGAATTGTATACAATGATGAGCTCATAATCTAATTGTGGGTGTTGTTGCAGATTCGCTAAGGTTTCATATGTGCTTCGCTAAAGCATGACTTGGTGACCTCATTTTGTCACAAATGTGACAGTTCTTTCAAGTGTACAAATCACTGTTGTGGAACCTTGCATTTCCTAGCACAACAGCTGAATGCTTAAACACAGATGGTGTTATTTTAGTTACTTCCTCCTGACACTCAAAAATATGTTTATAGAATCATAGAGTTGGAATAGACCACAAGGGCCATCGAGTCCAACCCCCTGCCAAGCAGGAAACACCATCAGAGCACTCCTGACATATGGTTGTCAAGCCTCTGCTTAAAGACCTCCAAAGAAGGCCATTATAATAATGGCACTCTTTCTGCATGCACGTTCATTTTAAAATCAGGCACTCCACATATTCTGTTTCATAGCCATGCATATTAGCTGTTTTTGTTAAATCTATTTTTGGCCCTAGATGTTAACTGTAGGAATGGAAGAAGGGGACATAGATGTGGATTCAGAACAAGGAATGTATTAACCATTCACAGTAAAGCAGCTAAGGATTCTTTCTGAGCTGAGAATATTTCTACAGACTCCTCTTTTCTTAAACTTTTTCAAATGAGCCAGTTAAATTAAAAGATATTGCATACATGGGCTGTAATCCAGAACTTAGGATGGTCAGTTCTGGAAACCAGAGCTATGCACATACGCTGTTCTGTATTTGACACCAGGAAAGCCTAATTCACATTTATGTTACTCTGTCACCTGTCCAGGTGACATGTGGGAAGGACCAAAGTATATATGAACCTTAAAAAAAAAAATCTAGAGAAAGCAATAGAAGACCGTTGTGGGATTGGCTGAAACTCAAGGAAGGCAGAAAGGGTGTGGTCCCAGAAAAACAGCCATGCCGTGGAGGTAAAAGGGGGAAGCAGCAGAAAGAGAGACTGCAGACTAAAGAAATAGGCCCATGCTTTCAGTAGTTGGGCATGTGCAAGAAAAGGACTTAAACTGGGGTAAGCCAGCAATTACCTGCATCAGTGCTGCCCAGGCTTCCCAAGTATGACCCCTTTTTAACACCAAAAGAATCCATTGACTTGCCCTACGCTAATTTTTGTAATTTTTATACTCTATATAAATTCAATAAATAATGATAATAAACACTGCCCTATACCCAGATGTTTCAGGGTGGTTCACAGAACAAAATATAAAACCACAAAAAATATAATCAAAATAAAAACAACCCAATAACTCTCCCCCCCCCCATTTGAAAAGGGCATAGGATGTCCAATCAACCAACAGCCTGGTTAAAAAGGAATGTTTTCCCTGGCGCTTAAAGGTGTATTATGAAGGCGCCAGGCGAACTTCCCTGGGGAGAGCATTCCACAGATGAGCCACTGCAGAGAAGGCCTGTTCTCATGTTGCCACCCTCCAGAGAAGGAGGCACATGAAGAAGGTCCTCAGAAGTTAATCTCAGGGTCTGGGTAGGTTCATAGGGAAAGAGGCAATCCTTGAAGCATTGCAGTCCTGAGCCGCTTAAAGCTTTATAGGTAAAAACCAGCACTTTGAATTGGGCCCGGAAACTAATTGGTAGCCAGTGCAGTTGGACCAGGATGTGTGTAATATGCTCAAACAGTCTTGTTCCGGTGAGCAACCTGGCTGCTGAATTCTGTACTAGCTGAAGTTTCTGAACAGTCTTCAGAGGCAGCCCTACATATAACACATTGCAGTCATCTAACCTTGAGGTTACCAGAGCATAGGCAACAGTAGTTAGGCTATCCCCAACTACTATCCCCTGGGGGCATAGCTTGGGCCACAAGCCGAAGCAGATGGAAGGCACTCTGGGCCACTTGAGGCCACCTAAGCCTCAATCGACACCAAAGGATCCAGGAGTACCCCCAAGCTATGAACCTGCTCCTTCAGAGGAAGTGTAATCCCATCAAGAGCAGGCGACCTCCCACCCATCCACTCTAGGGAGCCACCCACTAACAGTGCCTCAAATCCTATCTGGATTGAGATTCAGTTTGTTGGGTCGTCTCCAATCCATTACCAAGGCAAGACACTGGTCCAGCTCTTTCACTGCCTCACCTGAAGATGTAAAGGAGAAATAGAGCTGAATTATCATCAGCATACTGATGACAACGTACTCCGAAACTCCGGAAAACCACATCCCCAGTGGTTTCATGTAGATGTTAAAAAATGTGAGAGATAGGATTGAGCCCTGTGGAACTCCACATTGAAGGTTCCACAGGGCTGAAAAGCATCCCCCAAGCAATACCCTTTGGGAATGACCATCCAAGTAGGACTGGAACCACTGCAAAGCAGTGCCACCCTCCCTTAGTTCAGGACAGTTGCTCTAGAAGGATACCATGGTCAATGGTATCAAAAGCCACTGAGAGGTTGAGAAGAATTAACAGGGATATGTTTCCCTTGTCTCTTTCGACAGAGGTCATCATATAGAGCAATCAAAGCAGTTTCTGTGCCCAAACCGAGCCTAAACCCCAACTGAAATGGGCCAAGATAGTATTGTTTTCTTTTAAAACCAACCAACAAGAAGAGAGTTTGAGCATTGAAGCTTCAGCCCTGAGAATTTATTTGGGAGTGAACTGGGCAACTGGGACAGATTAGGGATTCTGCTGGTTTACTGCCCACCTCATTGTCAAGCAATCTCCCTGCCTGAGGTGAAAGTGCTAGTCTCAGAGGTAGTGTTGAGGACTCCCAGACTGCTGGTTCTGGGACACTTCAACATCCATGCTGAGGCAGCTGGAAGTGGGGTGGCAGGAAAAGGTCCTCCTTTCCTTCCACTCTGCAGTTTTAATCTGAAATCTTAAGCGCAGTACTAGAGCACCGGAACGCAGAAACAACTCCCATCATTCTTAGCTAGCAGGACCAGTGGTCAGGGATGATGGGAACTGTAGTCCAAAAACAGCTGGAGAGACCCAAGTTTGTGAAACTCTGGTCTAGACTCTAGAGCTTGAAAGGAAAACAAAATCCTAAACTCTGTGTATGGGCATGTGTAAGAGAGAAAGAGATCCCTGAGATGGTGTACCTAACCATCAGCAATATAACTATAAATAAAAAACCAGGCAAGTCCCCCCCCCCGCCCTTTACATGTGAGACTAGTCTCTTCAAAAGAGGATGAGGAAGTAAATTGAGCCCTTTGATGTAGCACTACCGAATGCAAGGAAGG